TCTTTTTTCTGTCAAGTCATCCTATTAGATGCACATAAGCTTCCCGTTCCTGCTTCCTAGGAAATTGGGGGAAGTGAGCTGCAGGTTCTCCTCCCTGATCTAAAAAGCAAGTGTCTTCCCCCAAACAATCTCGGGAATTGTAGTTTGTCAGGGGTTCTGGGAATTGTAGTTCTGTGAGAGGGAAGCTACAATGCCCAGGATCATTTGGCGGACGTCATGTGCTTTAAATGTTCATTGGATGCACTTTTAATCCTAGGATCATAGAATTGTAGAGTTTGGAGGGACCCCGAGCATGGGTTACTGTAGCAAAGCTAGCTTCATCCAAGATTCATCATAGCTGGCATAATGACTGGAGCTGAAAATAGGCACTACTTGCCATGGATGGCATATCGGGCTTCCAGTGATGATGTTGAATCAAGGAGCACTCCCAGGTTACAACCATAATAATTCAGGTGGGAGTGCCATTAAAAGTAACAGAAATGAAGTTCCTCAAACATTCCTACCTTTCCTGAACTATTTTTCAACCAAGTAACTCCCTAAAGCTAATATATGCCCTGACAAATGGCATTTGCTGCAATGGCACTTTGGAGAGTGGTGAATTTTGGTAGTGAAGTAAGCAGGGGTATTCTGATAAACAACAGACAAATAGAGTTCAAGGAAAATCACCTTTATTTCATAAGTTATGGTCCCCAGTCCAAGCGGACTGAGGCAAAGTATGCAGCTCAGTCCAGGCTTTTATAGCCTGTAGTCACTCTCCTCCCTCACAGAGTAATCGTGGAAAACTCGTTGGTCAAAAGATAAGCCGTATATGATGTGGGAAGTCCCAATTGGTCAAAAGATAAGCCGTCTATGACGTAAGAGCAATTAAAACAACCATTCTGATATGATTTATGACACAAGAGGCACATGCTGCAAGTACACAGTGCCAGTTTTCTCACATGGCTTCCATCATTCCTTTTTAGATCCTTTGCCAAGATTCTCGCTTGTTCAAGTGGTCAGATGGGCTTAGTTCACTCACAATTCATTCCTCACATGTTTCTAGCCTGGGTCTGCATAACCTTTGCATGAACTTTTTATCTTAAAGTGAACTGTAAGCTACATCAGAGGGAATGTTTCTCGTTTTACATCCCTTTGTTTTATAGGCTTGGGGATCATTTGCACTCAAATTGGTGGTTCAAAATAAATTCTGATCGACACCACCTACAGTAGGAAAATAGATCAGGGAAAGAGTCTAATCTTCTTTCCCCATATATTAAAATCTCAATCCAGATTACAATGATCTCTGCTGTTGTTATTTTTAAAGGAAAAACAAACCCAGGATAGATTATCATATGGTAAATGTTTTGTATGTTCTGGATCTTCGTAAACCAGTCTTCTGTGTCATCCAATTCCCACCAAGAAGTGCTTTTTTTTTCTATTCAGGTTTTTGACTTGTGGCAAAATTCTTCTAATTTATCAGGGGCAATACTTACTGTTACACCTATGTCATGGGATCAATTACCATTTGGTACCTAGTCATTTGTACTTGCCCCGAGTCCATGACTAAGTTAGGATAGATGGTCATCCTACGTTCTGACATTTAAAGGGCTACCCTTTGCATATATAAGGTAAAGGTAAAGGGACCCCAGACCATTAGGTCCAGTCATGGCTGACTCTGGGGTTGCGGCGCTCATCTCACTTTATTGGCCAAGGGAGCCGGCATTTGTCCGCAGACAGCTTCTGGGTCATGTGGCCAGCATGACTAAGCTGCTTCTGGCGAACCAGAGCAGTGCACGGAGTGGTACCTATTTATCTACTTGCACTTTGATGTGCTTTCAAACTGCTAGGTTGGCAGGAGCAGGGACCGAGCAACGGGAGCTCACCCCGTCTCAGGGATTCGAACTGCCGACCTTCTGATCGGCAAGTCCTAGGCTCTGTGGCTTAACCCACAGTGCCACCTGCGTACTCAGATGTAAATTCCTTTACCTACCACATAAGCATACACATAATTCCAGCCTGAATTCAGGGGATTTCCTTTGTTGTGAATTCAGATCTCAGCACACTGTTTGCTTATGCAAGTTCCATTAATTTCAATAAATCTTGAAACTAAAGTCCTTTACAAATCATACTCTGTTGTGAAGCCAAAAAAAGTAAATAAAAACATGTTTTGGCAAAAAAACACACTCACTAACACAGTATGATGCTCTGTAAAGCAAGCAAAGAATGACTGCATTTGGATGCCTTTTAAAATCTATGCAGAAGATTTGACCGAAATGAGAAAGCAAATAGCATGTCACTTACAACTGGATATAGATTAATTTCCAGAAGCACTGTGTATACAGATGGGGCAAACTGATTAATTTATACCAATTATACATATGAATCACCAACCAAACTTCAGTGCTAAAAACAGGCTTTAAAGTTGGCACCTCCCACCCACATACCTCATTGCTAATAGCATCCAGATAAATTCATTCTATTTCCATACAAACAGGATCCCTTCATTTATTCATTGCCAAGCTTACTGCTGTTAAAACAGACTTTGGAGGCTACTTCCTCATTTACTGCAGAACTGCCAGGCTTTGTTCACTTTTTACCCTGTAAAAATGTGCATGACGTAGCCATCACAATGTTCTGCTACAAACATCTTCCCTAATCAGACTCAGGAAATATGTTTAACTTTTAATTTTTTAAAAAACACCCACAGCAACCCACAATAGCTGGTTTCCACAGGTGTAGATGACCCATCACATTTCTGAAATTCTGACTATACAGGCTGCTAGTTGCTAGTATGCTCTAGTCATTTCCTTCTGTGTATCTCCCTGTGCCCACTAGGAATCAACTCTGTGCAATTAGCATTACTTTTCCAAGTAACATTGCTTTTAAAGATTTTTAGAACATGCGAATAGCCCTGCTGGATCAGGCCAGTGGTCCATCCACTCCAGCATCCTCTTCTCACAGTGGCCAACAAGATGCCAATGGGAAGTCTGTAAGCAAGGTCTGTAAGCAGCACCTGAGCACATCAGCACTCTCCCTATCTTGAAATTAGGGATGGGGCCATGATTGGGAATGGATAAAGGGGCAGCATGGTCCCAATGAAAATTCAACCCACCTCAACATTTGAGCCTGTGGGAAATGGGGCAGATCACATGGATTTGGAAGAACAACTGTTAATCCATTTCTAGTTTAAAGAAGAACAATGACTGGGTGCTACTAAATCATCCACCTCTGGAAACACCAAGAGAGGCCTCTGTAGAAGAACAAGGAAGTGCTATGTTACAACAGCAGGAAATTCTGCTAAATTTAGGCCTGAAGCTATGAAAATGTCATGTAAATTGAAAATTAACATCTTGGAATTACGCTACCTTTTGAGATATATTTGCCCCATTATTAATAAGGGAAGCTTTTAATGTTTAATAGGTTATTGTATTTTAGTGTTCTGTTGGAAGCCGCCCAGAGTGGCTGGGGAAACCCAGCCAGATGGGCGGGGTATAAATAATAAATTATTATATTACTATAAAGAACTGCAGCCATGTTTCACAGAGAATAATGCACACACACAAAAAGCCTGCAGCAAGATTCTGAACTAATACTGTCTGGTCTTGGTGACATATAGGGTACTAAGACCCCATGATGCATAGGATTGCACTGTAAAAGAGATACTTTAGCCCAACCCTTCTCCAAACAGCCTGCGTATACATTCTGATTTGTTTGCACAACAGATAAAAAGGTACCCCTGCCTGTACGGGCCAGTCATGTCCGACTCTAGGGTTGCACGCTCATTTCGCTCAAGAGGCCGTGAGCCAGTGCCGTCCGAAGACACTTCCGGGTCACGTGGCCAGCGTGACGAAGCTGCAGCTGGCGAGCCAGCACCAGCGCAGCACACGGAAACGCCGTTTACCTTCCCGCTATAAAGCGGTACCTATTTATCTACTTGCACTTAGGGGTGCTTTCAAACTGCTAGGTGGGCAGGAGCTGGGACCGAACGACGGGAGCTCACCCCGCCGCGGGGATTCGAACCGCCGACCTTGCGATCAGCAAGTCCTAGGCACTGAGGTTTTACCCACAGCGCCACCCGCGTCCCATTTTTAATTTCCAAAAAGCTTTATCAGAACAGGGGACAATAAGCAAATGTCTGACATAAATAGAACATCAATGTGTGGATGTACAAGGAAGAATAAACCTTTACTGTAGTGGATACAATAAAGGTTTCTGCAGTCCATCACCAGGCCAACAAGGACAACTAAGTCTCAGCTTCAGCTAATCTAGGAATCCTAAAAGGGAATTTAGTCAAATTCAAGAAGGGTAAGGTTATTAATGGCTGCTAATCATGACTATATGCCACTTTCAGAATTGGAGGCAGCATCCTTGTTGGGGCATGTTGTTCACTGCTGTGGTAAGTGGGATACTGGGCTATACGCACTAACCTGGGAGTAAGCATTATTGAATTTAATTGAGATTTATAGGGCAGCACTGTTAAGGACGCTGCCAATATCGTCATACAAATCTCCTTAGCTGAATGGGAAACCATCACTATGTGCTCGAAACCAATGGATTGTTGTACTTCTCGAAAAGAGGTCATACAATGCGTCTGCAGCCGTATTTGCATATCCACGTTCTGCTTTTGACACGCACACAATTATATAGAGCAACTCATTGAGGAAACTCTAATTTCCCCAGCCTACTCTCTGTTTACTGAGGTTAACATCCCACTCCAATCCCTTCCCCTCCCTCATCGGTTTTAATGGAACTTTTACCCCACCCCAGCCCCCGCAAAAAAAGAAAGAAAAACCTCAATTTACCATTTTCAAAATGGCTAATTATGAAATGACCATATCATAAACTGGCTTGGCATGAAGCTAAGGGCGCAACAGAGACCCTTCCCCTAAACAAACGAAACGCCGAACTGCGCAGGCGCCCAGAGGAAATGAGCGGCGGCGGCGCCTGCCTCTCTGGCTCCCCCACAAAACAATGGCCGCTGAGGGTGCGCATGCGTAGTGTTGCTCTGGTTCCCCCCTCCCTCAGCCTCTACAAAGCAATGGCTGCTTGCGCGCGTCTAGGCCCGGCGTGGTAGGCCTCCGCTTCACTTGGGCTGCGCGGCGGAGGTGCTGTTTCGTGTGGTTCCGAGTCGTCAGAATGCCGCAGAAACCCGGGGAGGAGGACGAGGAGAGAGGGGCAGGAGAGGCCTTGGGGCGCCTGCGCTCGGTGAACACTCGGGAACCTTGCCAGGTCATTTTCTGTAACCGCAGCCCCCGCCTGGTCAGCCCCGTCTGGCTGGACTTCGAGGGGAAGCCGCGCTCCTATCCGAGCCTGAAGCCCGGCACGGGCCGACGGATGCACAGCTACCTGGGTGGGTATTGTGACGGGGAGAAGAAGGGCGACGGGGGCAGCTCAGGAAAGCATCGCCGCTGCTTCAGTGCCTGAAGGTTAGGCAGGCAGATATTCAACAGGTGGAGCTTCCTGGCACGAACCTTCCAGCGAAACCTGCGCCCGCAGCCGGGCTGCTGCTCCCTCTTCCCTCAGACGTTAGAAGGGCCTCGGCCGTGCGAGGAGCCGGGAGCGGAAGGGCCCCGAGTAGGGTTAGAAAGTGGGGTGGCGGGTGCAGGAATTGGGGGGGACACCAGAGTGGGGTGGTTTGGCCACGTTGCCTCTGTGGAGAAGGAGGCCTGGACTGCCTCGAAGGCAGTGGTTTGGATGGCCGCTCCTGTGTGCAGAGGAGCGCAGCTGGGTGGATCTCTGAAGACCTCCTTTCGGCTCCAGGAAAGTGGTGGGAGCAGCTGTGAAGGGGATTCGGCACCTTCCAACTGATCCAGGATGCGGCTGCCAGATTGGGGACTGCGAGCCTGTATTGGCTCCCAGTACTGTACATTTCCGAGCACAATTCAAAGTGTTGGTGTTGTTGACCTTTAAAGCCCTGAACAGCCTCGCCCCTGGATACCTAAAGGAGGGTCTTCAACCCCATATCCATCCCAGATGCCAAGGTCCAGCTCCAAGGGCCTTCTGGAGAAGTGAAGTTACAGAGAACCATGCAAAAGGCCTTTTCGGTAGTCACGGCTGCCCTGTGGAACCGATTCCCTGCATATGTCAAAGAGATAAACAATTATATGACTTTCCTTAGACATCTGAAGGCAGCCCTGTATGGGGAAGTTTTTAATGCTTGGCGTTTAGTTGTGCTTTTATATTAGGTTGGAAGCTGACCACAGTGACTTGGACAATCCAGTCATATGGGATATAAATAATAATATCATCATCATTATTAATAATAATTGATAGGAATACTGTATCCCTGTGCAGCTGCTCATTTGTTTTTCTTTAAACCCAGTACTGTATAGCCTTTTCTGCATTCTTTTTGCAACTTTCATTTACAGACATAAGTTTCAGTGAACCACATTTGACTCATCGGTAGTTGCATACCATTTGGAATCAGTCTGTAAACATTGCTGAGCTGTTGAGCTTAGATCCTGCTTATTTGTTTGTTTTTAAAATTTGTTTATTAAATTTCTATACTGCCCTTCTTTTCTGGCTTCTCGTGGGCATCTGGTTGGCCACTGTGAGAACAGAATGCTGGACTGGATGGGCCTTTGGCCTGATCCAGCAGGGCTCTTTTTATGCTCTTATGCCCTAACTTCATTTGTGATTTGTTTTCTAGAACATCTTTGGCTGTTCAGAGATGCTGGGACAGATGATAGTCTTCTTGTCAACCAAGCAGAGCTGTTTGTGGCTACCCGCAATATGAATGGGCAGCCTGTATTTGCAAATATTACACTACCAGGTAAAAATCCAATTATAATACTAATGTCTTTATCTCTTTACACTGTGAATAATGTTGTGCAATTATAGTCAGAGTCCCATCTGACTAAAAAACAATCAAGTAAAATGTCTGATTATGTTTATTTGTAGCAGTGTGACACCCTCAAAACAGTCCTTCCCACCTACCCAAGGTTCATTTAAGATGCTCCCAATTCTGTCTGGTTACAAATCATTTTAAATCATTTGATCTTAACCATAAGAAAAGCCAGTAATGGGGCATTTCAGAAATTAAAAATTGATGTTTCTCAAACAGTGTATTCCAGTTGCTGCTATTAAAGGTTACTTGTATAGTTTCTCATTCTGTGCCTTCATAATGCTTCATGTTTGTATAGTACAGGAGTAGGCCTTCCAGATGTTATTGGAGTACAGTTACCATTAGCCCCAGCTGGCATGGCCAGTGGTCAGTGAGGATGGGAGTTGTAGTCCAGTGACATCTGTAGGGCCACAGTTTCCCCATCTCTGGTCTATCAGATTAAGAAAAACATGAATTGTATTTCTTTTTCTTACTGATTAGCAAAACATTATGGTGTTCAGGTATTTGTGATCCATGCCTCAATATCTTCAGCATGACATTTAAAATCTCACTTTACTATCTCTCTGCAGTGTACACTCTGAAGGAAAGATGTCTCCAAGTTGTCCGTGCTTTAGTAAAACCAGTGGACTACAGGAAATTAGACATTGTTCGGTCACTATATGAAGATTTAGAAGATCATCCAGATATTAGGAAGGATCTTCAGCGGCTTTCTCTGGAAACGAATGATAGGCTAAGGAACAGAGTTGAAGGGTCATCAGTGGAAAACTACTCTTACTAATAAATTGTTGGGTATAAGAGGCATTAACTGCTGTATGAACTGAAAAGACATTAACATTCCATAGTGTTTTAGGAAGCAGACATTGCTTTGGTTTAGAACTTGTAACTTCATAACTTAGAGACAAAGCCATGGGACAATGAGGCAGAGTGGTAGAATGCTGCAGCTGAAAATACTCAATGAAATCCTGTCCTGGGAAAACCTATACAAATTGTATTTTACATTAGACCAAATACAAAAACATATGTCAGTTAATAGAAGATTAGATTGGCAAAAGCCGTTTCATGTGATTTTCCACTTATTTAAAGTATCATTTTATTATATATGTGTTTAGAAAACACCCTGTATGTGTGCTCTTTGGAATTTGGGCAACTTTAATTTAATTATCATACCAAATGATAAATTATCCTTAAACTGCAATTTGGTCTCCCACCCCTCACCCAATAATTCAGATTGAATACTGTAAATTAGAACTCTCTGGATTTACTTTTTCTTGTGCCAGCGGTTTCCTACAGGTCATTATTTCCTATGGTGGACCAACATACTTCCAGTGTGCAGGAACTTCATTCTGTCACACATTTGCCCAATGTTTGTCTATGCTGTTATGGGAATTTTGGTGTGATGGGAGCTACTACCGTTCCCACTTCAGCTAGAGAAAGAGCCTGGCAACTCTGTGGTGCAGGCAAAGTTTTTTCTCAGATCACAATTTCACCCTCAGTCAAAGCTTGCTATTGCATTGAAGGTGAATTTTGTGAGTATGAAAAGAATATGCTGTCTCTTAGAGGTTCCAATAAATAATCCATCAAACTCATTCTTTGCTACTCTTTTTTTTAAACACTCCCCAAGCTATATATTGCCTTCTTTAAAATTATCTGCAAAATTTTGAGGCAACAGTTATGAAGCTGACTACTTTAGAACGTATTTTTGTTTTGAGCTACACAGATGATCAGTGGAACACTATTTTCCTATTTTCCAATATCCTGTGTTTGCAACTATTAAATTTTTTTGGTTTTGGGTGTCAACCCAACATTTTTACCAGTTGATCTTGTACAGTTATTTCCAAGTATCTTAATAGGACTACTGTGAAATGAACTTGTTGAAGACATTACGGTGTACTGAATGTGTTGTAAATTGTTACCTTTTGTAAAGTCACTGGTTTGTGATGTAGGTGTGTACTAATTTTTTTGTATACTTTGTAAATTTCTTTCTAAAAAGTTAAAGCTTGAGAGATTTCTGTATATATGATAAATCTGTACTTTTGATGTTGCCAGACAAATATGTGCACACAACCAGAACTTTCCCTTAAGAGTTCTGCCAGAGGAGGGAAGAGACAAGGTTTACCCTTCATAGAGTTACAGTTCCCAGCATCCTTAACAGACCTACGGTTCCTGGGATTCTTTGGGGGATTCTGTGTGTTCTTCCAGGTCTTCTAAAGGAAGAATCAAAATAGCAAAATGAAGAAGAAAGTCTGTGAATATGAATTCCATGCAAGATAGATTGCAGTAGCTAAGCTGTCAGTTTTGTATCTGAATTTTTGAACATGCTGGGGCACATTTGGAGCATTGTTAGATTTATATGGTTCTTTGTTTCTGATAAATACCTAGTGAGAATATCAGCTGCCCAGACCAGATTATTAGAATTGCAATTTTGATATTTAAACATTGCTTTTAATATGTATTTAGCTATTGCTCAGCATTCCATACAATGCCATTTCATGTATTATTATTTTTTAACCTATGAGGCATTAAAGCGGATTTTTTCCCTTAATTGCAGCACTATTATTTCCCCCATTTTTTACTTTGTCTGGTACTTTATTATATGTAAGCAATGGTGGCAGCCATTATGTTTGCTAATAAAATATACTAGGATGCATGCCCGTTCTTTTCTTAAAGTTCATGTGTGACTCTTAGGTTCATTTCATATACAGTGGTACCTCAGGTTAAGAACTTAATTCGTTCTGGAGGTCTGTTCTTAACCTGAAGTACCACTTTAGCTAATGGGGCCACCACTGCGCGATTTCTGTTCTCATCCTGAAGCAAAGTTCCTAACCCGAGGTACTATTTCTGGGTTAGCAGAGTCTGTAACTTGAAGCGTCTGTAACCCGAGGTACCACTGTATTTTGTTTTGTTGGTGGTAATGTGTTACTCCCTTTTCAATGTCTTATTTAGCAATGATTTTTTCCCCTTAGAATCATAAAACTGTAGAGTTGGAAGGGACCATGAGGGTTATCTAGTGCAGTCCCCCTGAAGTGTAGGAATCTTTTGTCCAACATGGGGCCTGAGATTAAGAGTTTCATGGTCTGCCAACTGCCAGAAATGACCAAGAGGAAAAGCAGCTTCCAGTGTGGTGTAGTGGTTAAGAGCAGTGGACTCATAATCTGGTGAACCGGGTTCAATTTCCCGCTCCTCTACATGCAGCTGCTGGGTGACCTTGGGCTAGTCACACTTCTCTGAAGTCTCTCAGTCTCACTCAGCTCACAGAGTGTTCTGGGGGAGGAAGGGAAAGGAGAATGTTAGCCGCTTTGAGACTCCTTCGGGTAGTGATAAAGCGGGATATCAAATCCAAACTCCTCTTCTTTTTCTTAACCAATGTTTCAATGTGGATTGCCTGTGGAACAGATGGAGGGATATTCAGATGCATTTTTAATGTAGGAGTCATTTCCCCCCTTTGCTATTTTCTTTTCTTAAAACAGTGCAGGCTTGAGAGTCTTAGACTTCAGGCTGGTGTGCTTCTTATCTTAAACATTACATGGGTATCTAAAATGGAATGGCTGCAATCCTAATCCCCAGAAGTAAGCCACATTGAATTCAATAGCACTTACTTCAGAGAAGGCATGGTTAGGATTGTGCTATCTTTGACCTCAATAAAGATTGCTGGATGGATTGCTGTTAGTCTGGAATCGGTCTCCTTTTTAAAAAAGAAATCTTGGACGAAGATCCTGGTGTATAAGCAAGAATTAGGTTAAAATCAGCAATATTCACATTTACTGTTCACAGCCGAGCACTCCTAACATGTGGTTCTTGACGCTGGAGAAGGGAAAAATATGTAAGTGATTCAGTATTAGATTATGTACAATATTAGAATATTCTATTTGGAATATTTTTCATAGAATATTTTAATGGCACACAATTTATGTGTATACCTGAAGGAGCGCCTCCACCCCCATCGTTCTGCCCGGACGCTGAGGTCCAGCGCCGAGGGCCTTCTGGCGGTTCCCTCATTGCGAGAAGCAAAGCTACAGGGAACCAGGCAGAGGGCCTTCTTGGTAGTGGCGCCCGCCCTGTGGAACGCCCTCCCATCAGATGTCAAAGAGATAAACAACTACCTGACATTCAGAAGACATCTTAAGGCAGCCCTGATAAGGGAAGTTTTTAATGTGTGACATCTTAGTGTATTTTTTGTCTTTGTGGAAGCCACCCAGCCACTGGGGAAACCCAGCCAGATGGGTGGGGTACAAATAATAAATATTATTATTATTATTATTATTATTATTATTATTATTATGTTTCTGTATTTTTGTAATCAGAAGTGTGAAAGTTTTACATGCAGAAGCAAATGGTGTATTATGATGGATTTACTAAATCAGGGCCAGTCCTACCATTAGGCAGTGGGGTGGCTGCCTCAGGCAGCAGAAGCAGAGGAATGGCACGGAGGTGTGGGAGGGCAGAGCTATATGTACCACATGCATCCTAACCAAGCTAACCTGCTGTCCTCAGCTGTAGTGGAGGATAGTGGCCTGTCACTTGTGGTGAAGATTAAATTGCAAATCAGGTTGACTGGTACATGGAAAGGTTGTCATCTTGCCCTTCAGCCAAGTAAATACAATGTATTGGGACTAGTCCTGAATACACCAGAATGGATAGGTGAACAGCTTAGAACAAGACTATGCTTCATTCCAATACCATACCTTTTAATTTTTGTTCCTCTGTTTATATGCTTGTTTTGACCATTGCATCTAATGATGGGCTTCATATTGTAAAAAAAAAACAGGCTTGCTACAATAACAGCGCAATCCTATGCATGCCTACTCAGAAGTAAACCCCATTGGGTTGAATGAGGCCTGCTCTAGCAATGTAGAGAGGGCTGCAGTCTAAATTGTTTTCCTAGCAGCAGCTGCTTTTCCTATTTTTTCTTTCACCTTTCTGGTGCCACCCTTTGGCTGCTTCTTGCTGAAAAATTGGGCGGAATGTTACTTGCATAGTTTTCCCTCTCCACAATTAAATCGTCTAGTCACTACTGTTTTCTGTCCTATATTTTCCCCATTTTATGTTTAAAAAAAGAATAGATTGCACACTTCAGTTTAGTCGATGTCGATGATAATAATAATAATAATGTAAGATACCCCACCCGTCTGGCTGGGTTTCCCCATCCAAGTTAAAGATTCGCCAATACTAGCTCCCGAGGCAGGACTCCTTCAACTCACAACCAGTTGATTGTTTCCGAGAGCTAAGTTTCTCGCCAGAATACTGTAATTTGCTCGTCTATTCACAATCGTGCACCTCCTTCCTTCCCTATGTATTTTATTTATTAACCTTTCCTTTTTTAAAACCACACATGCCCCGAAGCCAGGGAAGTCGAGGCTCCAGCGAGATCAGCCCGTCCCCTTGTTTTTTACTGCTGCGCACCGATCGCCTGGGAAAAATCAGGTGCGAGCTGGTTCATAAAGAGTCCGGCCGCGGGAGCGCAAAGTGGGAACAAGCGCGCAGCCCTCGAAGAAGGGAGGCGAGCCAGGCTCGCCCTGACGTCATTGAGAGAACTCCCCGGCGTCGGGAAACGGGGCAGGACAGGGCGGAGTCTGACAGACAAAAATAAAGCCGCTGACAAGTTTTGTGAAGCGAGGAGTGGCTCCTTCAGACGGGGAGGAGACCAGGCTTGCTGGCTGGAGTCAAGGAGAAAAAAGAAACCCATTTCCTTCCTCCTTCGGGCCTTTGGGTGGACAGCCGTCCATGGCCAAAGGAGAAGAGAGGGGAATTCCCGCGGCTGTGACACAGCAGGAGAAAGACATGGCCCTGCAGCAGCGGCAGCCGCCGCCGCAATATCCCTCGACGCCGCTTTCCTTGGGCAGTTCTGCTGCGCAGTCTCCTTACATCCACAGCATGCCCGCCTGGGTGCTGGAGGATTTCTGCCAGAAGATGGACTGCCTCAACGACTACGACTGGATGCGCTTTGGTGAGCCCGGGATCTCGTCGCCTGGCGGGTGGGGGAGCAGCAGCGCCGGGTTTGGGAGTCCCTGGGCAACTTTTTGGGCCCGTCGGATGTTGTGGGACTTCAGCTCCCATCGGCGGGAGCGAGTTCAGGGATGTGGCCCAGTAAGAGCAGTGGGGGGGATCACACCCGGAGCCCCCGGTGGTGGAGGGAGTGCTGGTTTTAAGGAGATAGATAGACGGTTAGATCTATGACAAGCACAGGTGTCCCTATGTTTTAGCTGAACCCTGAATCAACTCTATCCCAGGGACCCTTCTCCTCCCAAAAGCCACAGCTTTGATAGCACCGGTAGAGTTCACAAGCTGCTGGGTCTGATTCAAGGCTTGTGAACTCTACCGGTGCTATGAAACTTGTTGCTTCTTGGATAAAAAAGGGTCCCAGGGATAGTTGATTCAGGGTTCAGCTAAAACATAGGGACACCTGCACTTGTCATATGGAAGGTGAAAGGACAGCGCTTGCCAGTAGGGGAACCTGTGGCAGCCCTTCATACTTCACTGAAGCACTTATGTCCGGCACTTGAGAACTCCACACATCATACAGGCCCCAGATTTATGGATTAAACTGTGCACTGTCACATTAAACTCTGTAATCGAACGTTAGGATAGACATTGGTTGAGTTAGCTTTCCAAAGCATCAAAGCATATTACGAGGCGACTGATAAAACAATTTTTTCAAAGAAGTACATGCATTTAAAATATAACTTGAAAGCACTGTTAAAACATCTTCTGGCAAAATAATTCATCTGAAGCATTTTTAAAGCTATAGTGCATTTATCCAACTTGTCAAGTCCTTCCATGCTCTGTTCCTGCCCTCTGTACGCAATTCTTACTGCTCTTGCCCTGCACCTGAACATTACTGCTAAACAGCAGCTATTGGTGGTCAGTGTCCTGTGTTTTAGTACTTCCCAATCCCTGGCATCTCCAGGTAGAGCTGGGAAAGGTTCTGTCTTGCCTGGAATCCTGGAGAGCTGTCGGTCAGTATATACTGACTGGTGTGACGGATAGATGGCACTGGGCTGGATGGAGTGATGGGCCGACTTGGTGTGAAGCCACTTTTTCTGCCTGGCTGTGGAGGAAGGGATATTGGTGTGGAAAAGATGGATACAGAGACAGCTTCATAGAACTGTAGAGTTGGAAGGGACCATGAGGGTCATCTAGTTCAACCCCCTGCAATGCAGGAATCTTTTGCCCAATGTGAGGCTTAAACCCACAACCCTGAGATTAAGAGTCTTATGCTCTGTTGACTGAGCCACAGTTTCCTCATCCCACTCTCCTAAGACTACAAACTCAGGGTCATCCAATGGAAATTATAGGCAGTAGATTCAGGACAGATGAGAGAAAATACTGCTTCTTTCCACAACACATAAGTAAATATATGGATCTTCTGCCCCAAGACTATTACACCTTTAAAATATTAGACACAGTGGTGTCCAGTACAGGTAGAATAAAGTCTCTGAACACCAGCTGCTGGGGAATAACAGTGTGAGAGCTGTGACCGTAAGTCCTTTTTATGGGCTTCCGGGAAGTGTCTGGCTGACCATCAAAGGAAGTGTGATGCAGAACTCGAGAGACCCTTGACACTGTTGTGCAATATTGCGAAGGAGCACTGATGTAATCTAATGCTGACAGCCTGCTCTGGCTAAACTATATTATTTATCACATGCCCTGCACCCCAAGGTCCTGGGGCGGGTTACAGCGATTAAAACACAGTGTTAAAACCCATTAAAAAAACTTATAATAACATAAATAAGTTGGGTCCTAAAAATATTGTTATTTGCCGCCCCAATCTCTGAGCAGTGTGAGATTCCAGGGGCACCAGGCACACTTGCTAGGGTCTGTGCTCTCTTTTGGAAATGAGACATAGCGGAGACTGTGGTGTCTTTATGATACATGGTTTATTTGCACCTATATACAACCTGAGTCTAGATGGAGGGAGCACAGAGCATTCACATTCCAAGAGGTTTGGGCTTCTTCCATAGCCACAGCAGCTTTAGTCACCAACCATTCCTCTGCCTTTGCCCCCCCCCCCATCCCACTGCTTACTAACTCCGTTGCATAACTCAGGCTTACTGTCTAAACCCTTTGCTAACCTAAGCTCTAGTTTTTTGTAATACAGGGAGAGGCCCCACACCTTTGATGTGCTAGATGGCTCATTACTCCCAGGCTATTATCTCAAAGGAAATTAGCGTTTACACATGTTGTTTGCCTAGGATTAAATAGTTAAAAGATACACAGTTTAAGCAGTTTGCCTAAATTGCATTAGAAGGATTAGAAGTGTCTAGACTCTAGCACATATTTCTTAATGAACACTAATGCACACAGGTCCAACTTAGATTCTACCACTTGGTAGTCTGACACAGTTTTACATGGAAGCCTTAATTAAAATCTAGCACACCTTAATTAAATTCCAACACTAACTTCATCTGGAATTTAGGGTGTCTTGAACCCACAGCTTCATAACATTATACATCCCGAGTGTGAAAAGCCAGGGAGGTTAGATCTCATGTGGGTTTTTACATCAGTGCAGTATATTTTGTGGAAGAGGTTTAATACATTTTTTTGGTAATCTTTCTCTTCCCCGCAGCTACTGTTAGCCATTTGGGAAGAAAAATGCAGATACCTGTAAAAGCATACCTGTCAGTGTCTTGGAGTACTTTCCTAATGCACTGAATGATTAGCCCTTGCAAGCTATACTGCACAGAAAATCTTGTATTGTGATCCCATGCCAGGGGGATTCTAGCCTGGGACAACAAAACAGTGGCTGAATGTGATTGGTTGGTTGATTGCCTAATTGCCTACCCTGCACCCTAAGGTCACTAAGTCTGGGTTACACCAATTAAAAATTCAATATTCACATAAAAAGTACCTCTGTCTAGCTTCTGATGCAAAAACCTGCAATCCTACAACTGCTTGTCCCACACTGTTTATTCTGAAGCTTCGGAAGTAGTACGTCATCCAAAGATTGCAGCCTTGAGGCATTGTCATAGAAACACCTAGGCTTGCTACTGTTTATAGTGCAGGACTCTCGTGTTAATTCTGTCCAGCTCTATCACCAGGTTTGGTGCCTTTTACAGAAATTTAAGGTAGTGGACTCCCGATTAGAATTAACCTAAGAATCCTTTAGCTGCCAACATTTTTGCCTGGGTTATCACATTTCTGTTCTTCCTCGGAAAGAATGAAGCTGCCTTGTGTATAGAGCAGCAGGATGTGTTTGAGACTTTCCTTTTCATTCACTGTGCAATATGAGTCAAGAGGTGGGGGTTGCTGGACTACATTCCTTGAGGGATTAATGATGCGAAAGATAAATGCTTGGTTTGCACATGTACAAATACAGTGGTACCTCGGGTTACATACGCTTCAGGTTACAGATGCTTCAGGTTACAGACTCCGCTAACCCAGAAATATTACCTCAGGTTAAGAACTTTGCTTCAGGATGAGAACAGAAATCGTGCTCTGGTGGTGCGGCGGCAGCGGGAGGCCCCATTAGCTAAAGTGGTGCTTCAGGTTAAGAACAGTTTCAGATTAAGTACGGACCTCCGGAACAAATTAAGTACTTAACCCGAGGTACCACTGTATCTCTCAAATTTAGGGTTGCCATGTTTCAAACAGTGAAAATCCAGACAGAAAAGTTGTTGGACATATGGCAACCCTGCCCTAATTACAGAAGAAAAGAAAAAAAATGGGTGCCAAATTCGTATGAAAGGGAATGTGTGTTTCTCCTTAAGCTACACTTGTGATGCCTTAGATTTTACTTCTGAACCAAATCTGCCTGGTTTTCTTTTAGCATCCCATGTGATAACTGACCAGACCGAGCTGAGGAAAATCAAGTGCATGGAGAAGGCAGGAATCAGTGTAACAAGAGAGCTGATGTGGTGGTGGGGAGTGAGACTCGCAACCGTCCAGCAGTTGTTTGAGCTTCTGCAGGAACTTCAGCTCTATCGGGCAGCACAAGTAATTGCAAACTGTGAGTAGCTGGACTTCTTTCTCTGGAACTACCTAGCAGTTGCTTATAACAAATTAGTGAAAAGCTCGTTCGTCAACGCCCGTTGCCATTGTCGTTCCTTCTAGAGCTGAACTCCGTTCCAGCAGGGGCTGCTGGTTTTGCAGCCAGAATTGGGTCACTAAGCAAAAAGGGAGCCTGCTTAGGTGAACCCTGAAAGCAAAGAACTAGGGGACTACAAACAGAAAACAGGAAATGTACATATGCTTGAGGCCATGCAAAGGAAAGGGGAGGGGGAAGGAGCAGGAAATGAGTGAAGCTGAACGTTGGAAGAATCAGGACAGAAGAAAGTCAGTACTTTTCACGCAGTGTACAGTGGTACCTCGGGTTACATACGCTTCATGTTACATACGCTTCAGGTTACAGACCCCGCTAACCCAGAAATATTACCTCGGGTTAAGAATTTTGCTTCAGGATGAGAACAGAAATCGGGCTTCGGTGGTGTGGCGGCAGCAGGAGGCCCCATTAGCTAAAGTGGTGCTTCAGGTTAAGAATAGTTTCAGGTTAAGAGCGGACCTCCGGAACGAATTAAGTACTTAACTCGAGGTACCACTGTACAGTTAAACTTTTGAACTTGTTCCCCTATGGTGCAGTGATGGCCACCTACCTAGATGGCTTTAGAAGATTAGAAAAATTAATGGAGGAGATGGCTGTCAAAGGCTACTAGCCATGATGGTTGGAGACAGTAACGCTTCTGAATACCAGTTGCCAGAAATAAAAATCCAAGCAATATTTTGTTAGGGGTTTCACTGCTTCTCTCTAATAGCAAACTCGGGAGGGTATGTGTTGACAGGTTTTGAGCTAAAACCAGATGACTGAGAAACAAGTGGAAGATGTTTGTATGCTTATGTAAAGCTCATGATATACCAAAGTATGAAACATTAAAAAAAAACAAAAAACAAAACGGGGCATGCACTCCCAAAAAAACCCCAGCCCTGTGAAGTCTGAGCATGCTCAGTGGTCTGTGGAATGTTACGTTTTAGTTGGAAAAGCAAGATGGAAGGCTTGGGAAATGAATTGGTGGGAAATGAATTGGGCTGATTGTAGTTTGTATCCTTGAAGAATTTGTAGTTGCCTCGAATCCTGAACAGTAACAGTTCTGTTGGGGATTGAGGAAACACTGCAATGTTTTTTGCTGTATTGAGTTTTGTTTATTATTCATACCTTCCTAGTGTGGCCTTTTATAGCCCCTCTTACCTGATGAAAAAATTGTTTTCTTTAGGCAGACCTTTGGTTAGTCATGTTGATTGCTTTCCCCTGTTGTTGGTTGGCAGTTTTAGTTAAGTTGGTTGCTGTTCTTTATCTGTTGTTTTTTTCTGTTTGTTGATACATTTGTTTTCATTATATTGTAATTTGTTATTTTACTGTTGGCTCCCCTGGGCTCTTTATAGTATGGAAAAGCAGGAAAAAATACCCAGGGTACAAGAACCATTGTTTCTAGGTATGTCTGTATAGAACCAGGGTTGGGCTCAGATGTAACAGGAAGTGTGGTTTTCCATTATGAGCATGAACCGCAGAAAGCTTCAGGCTGCCTCCCTCCCCACTCCTCTTTTGTACACCAGAGGAGAGTGTACACTTCCAAATGTGATTTTAAACTAACCACAGTTCCTGTGAAGCTAAGCCAGAGTCAGACTATGAGCCTTCTCTGTGGAAACCTTACGTTGTGGAACTCCCCCTGCTACACACACACACACAGGCGTGTGGCCCCTTCACAATTACAGTATCCGTATTTCAGTGAATGCTGAATACATTTTTTTGTACATAATAATATGGTTTACTGATATACATCCCCCCCTTCACTGCTTTCACACCTGCACATTGGTTAAGAAAGGGAAGTAGCCCTTCTTTGAAAGGGGAAAGAAGAGGGCTGCATTGCCATGCTAACTACAGAAAATAATTTTTTGTTTGAAATATTTTAGACCAGCTTTTGCTTTAACTCATTTTCCGTTAACACCATTTTCATTTGGGCTCATCATAGCATATATGAATTCCTCTGCATTGTCCTTTTTTGAATGAAAAATACAGTAATGTGAATGTGGCCATTGAGAGTGATGCAAATTGGGTACATCTGATTTAAATTTCCTGTAAACTTTTACACACACACACACACACTGTACTAGGAAAATATTGCATTCATGTAGAAATGCCCATAGTGATAAATTTCAAAAATTAGACAGGAAACATGCTGGGATGTTTTCAGTCTTTTCATTAAAAAAATCTGTCATCCACTGGGTTCAAAATTGTTGCAAAACATGATTAGACAATATGGCAGTGTGCCTTCAATACTAATGTGAGACACTAGCAGCTAGAGGAAGAATGGATGGTGGTGACTCATGACTTGCCTTTTATGCTGCTGTTCTTCGTTGCAAAATCTAGAATCCCCCAATTAGTTTACTTGCAGCTTACCAGCAGAGCATTGCTTTCTGGTGGTGAAAAAAGAAGAAACGGGTGTCATCAGGCTGTCAGAACAATCTTAGTTATAGCTAGGTAGCTGTGTTGGTCTGCCATAGTCGAAACAAAATAATTCCCCCCCCCCAGTAGCACCTTAGGTAAAGGTAAAGGGACCCCTGACCATTAGGTCCAGTCGTGGCCAACTCTGGGGTTGCGGCGCTCATCTCGCTTTATTGGCTGAGGGAGCCAGCGTACAGCTTCCGGGTCATGTGGCCAGCATGACTAAGCCACTTCTGGCGAACCAGAGCAGCACACGGAAATGCTGTTTACCTTCCTGCCGGAGCGGTACCTATTTATCTACTTGCACTTTGACGTGCTTTCAAATTTCATTGGCACCCTGTGTGATGCTGAAATCTGGCTCCCTCCTGCCTCTTACCTTCCACTGGACTTCACAGTTGTGGTGCCCCAGAAGCTCAGCACCCAGTGCGACCGAACCAGTCACACTCCCATAGATCCACCTTTGAGGGCAGGGAGATACGTTGCTATTATCCCAGTGGAATGGCTGCCCTATCCTGTACTTGCTGAGACCAAGTGCAGAAAGGAAAAACACCCAACAAGAAAATGCAAAATGGCTTAACAATTTTGGGTATGCCCTCCGCATCTCTAGATACAGCGCCAAATTCCATCAGTCAGGGACAGGGGCATCTATGTCACCCACATGATGCCCACCCACAGTGGGAGCCAGTTAGCACAACAAACATGCACCCAGCACATACCCATTGAACAAAACACACACACACACAATACGCAGTATGCTACTAGAGTATTCCCCAGGACGTATTTGCTGTTTTGTTGTATGTGGTATTTCCTAGAACATTTGTCCACACTGTTGGGATTGGATTCTGGGTTACATCCAGAATAACACTGTAGACCTGTATGCACTTCCCTGGGAGTGAGTTATGTTGAATTTGGTTGGGCTAACCTCTGAGCAGAATAGGATTTGGGTTAGTTGTACAGTACAGTGGTACCTCGGGTTAAGTACTTAATTCGATCCGGAGGTCCGTTCTTAACCTGAAACTGTTCTTAACCTGAAGCACCACTTTAGTTAATGGGGCCTTCTGCTGCCGCCGTGCCACCAGAGCATGATTTCTGTTCTCATCCTGAAGCAAAGTTCTTAACCCGAGGTACTATTTCTGGGTTAGCGGAGTCTGTAAGCTGAAGCGTATGTAACCTGAGGTACCACTGTACAACTAAACTTGAAGGCCCTGGTTGTACTTAGGGTTCCATTGAGCCGGTCCTGGAATCCCCCACCTTCGGCTGCCCGTTTTGGTGGGTGGGTGGGGCTCATCTACCTATCAGCCACCTAATGTCATTAGGGTGTCAGGTGACCCACTCTAGCAAACCGTTCTAGGAAGGAGAATCCAAGTCCAGTCAAGTGGTGCTTGAAGTTACCACCGATCAGTTAATAGGCACTGGCTTCAAGGTCCCCTTGCAGCTCTGCTGTTTTCTGGGATTGGCTGCATTTTGGAATTCCCCAAGGGGAATTCTGTAACACAGCCTGTGCCAGGGGACAGCAAGCCTCCCTTGGCAAAGCACAGTCTAGAACTCATTGGATGTTGGGTGTGGAACAAGTATTGTGGTTTGATGAAAATGGCTTAGTGGGCCATACTGGGTTTCCCACTGCCAGTCTTGATCCACTGTTTTTGCGGAATCCACCTAGGAGTACAAAATAAGAAGCTGCATTAACAGTAGCTTCATTGTTCATGCTAACTTTGAGGGTGCAAATGAGACTGCATATTTAAATTGCAACTATTTTTAGTTTTCAACTGACGTTTAAAAAAATGGAAACTCGTTATTGCCCAGGCCTTAAACAGGCCAACCAGTATGACCATTGCAGTGATTTGACAGCCCATGCTGAGAATTTAATTGTTCCAGTTACTTTTCCAAATCAAATTGCTCTCTGTGCACACTCATCCCTGATGCCCAGAAAAAGAATTCTATTATCTGTTGTAATTCATGCTGATTCACTCCTAGAAAATGTGAACAGTGTTTCTGAGTAATCCTAGCATATAAAGCATGCCAGTTTACCTCTTCGAGAAAAATAACCACCTTTTCCTGCTTTTTACATGCATCTATACTTCTAAACATTTTTGGCATATAGTGGAGAGGATCTATTCAACCAGGTTTCATATTCCTTTAGCAGCCTGGGGTTTCTTTCTTCTCCATATTTTTTAAAGTTCACTACAAGGAATGCAGCACTTCATTAAAGATGTCAATAGCTGCACCAATGTTGTGTTGGCTTGGGGCACACAAAGAAGGCCTTAGCAGAGGGACTAGCTGGCCTCTGCAAAAATATCGGAGACACCGGCCAAAGAATTATATTTGCTGTTCCTCTTTGCTTTCCTCAAGGGAAATTTATTTGGATCCAGCTGAAAGGATTGAATCAACTCAGTTCAGCTGAGTCCGTGTGCTCCTGATGTGTACCTTAATTAGGAAAATGTTGAAAGCAAACACAGGGTTGTACTGATCCTCATTATCTTTTATGATTGCAAGTGCCTCAGGAGTCTTAAACCTCTGGCTTCAGGAGAGATACTGTTAAAGTCCAGTTTATTAAAATATTGTCCCTTTTTTAAAAAAAGCATCAACAGTAACGGCAAAGAGCGATGTACATGTTTTTGCTTATGTTGTAAAGTACAGTGTCCATGGCAATTGAAGTGTAGGCGGGTTCATGCATGACCCAAGAGGTCTGCAATGTCATGCATACAATCTGGCTTCGGCCTACAATGCCTGGTGTCAGGAATGAGCCAGCTCCTAGTGGAACTTTACAGCCGGCTGCAGAACAGAGAGGGTTAGAATTGATGCAGGCTGAACAGTGGTCAGCGCAGACTCTCCCGGACTTTGGAATGCCAGTTACCAAGGAAATGACTGAGAGCGGGCTGGAACACAGACAAAGCTCTCAGGAAGTCAAACAGGCGTGAACAGAGGTGGAACAGTCTGTCAGAACTGGAAGAGGTTGGAGCTGATCCAATCTCTCCTAAAAGTCATTGAATGGGAGGGCTGTTCGACAGGAAGCAAAACAAGAGACGTAAGGGGCGATGGTTCAATATATTCTGTAGGAACCGGAAGGTGTCTTCTGAAGGGTCATCTTGAGTGATAATGTAGGCGGTTTCGTCCAGAGCCGTCCAGAGCTATCTGTTTTTGCAATAAATATTCATTTTTAATTACCTACGCTTACTGTGTTATTTAGCCAGGAACTGGACTCCTGACACCTACATACATAACAGCAATCATTATTTTTCATTATATGATGAGAAACACCCTGTGGAATGCCCTCCCATCAGATGTCAAGGCGATAAGCAACTATCTTACTTTTAAAAGACATCTGAAGGCAGCCCTGTTTAGGCAAGTTTTTATTGTTTAATGCTGCATTGTGTTTTTAATTTTCGGTTGGGAGCCGCCCAGAGTGGCTGGGGAAACCCAGCCAGATGAGTGGGGTATTAATAATAAATTATTATAAATTATTTTTATATTCAAAATATTTTTAAAATGACTGTAACAGGGCAGAATGGGGGCAAGGTGGGCTTATGCATTCTCCACTGATGCACGCAGGGGCCAGGAATGGAACTCCCATACAAAATTGTTCCCGGCTGTATGTAAAAGTATGTAAACTGGTTAAACATTCATTTTGATACCTTACAGCTCAGTCATTATGCTCTGAACAAATAAGCGGTTCATGATATTCCCCTCAACTCCAAACCTCACAATTTGAGAGATTGCCGTTCATTCCTTGCGCTACAATTTGACAGCAGCAGGACCTAGTATAAAAAAAATTAAGATGACTTTGTGAAGGTTCCCTAAACATAGCAGACACGCATTATGTTAACATAAATAAAAAGAAGAAAAGCAGAGAATCTTTCATAACTATAAAACTGAGATAAAACTCAAACCCTCCCTACCAGTGATAAACACGTATCAATATCACTCATAATAAAACCACAATCCTGCAAACAAAAGCTCGGCAGTGTTAATCCGAAATAACAAATTATATTTTAAAAGCAAATTCTAATGAGAATTGCAGTTTATGATCTTCATTTCACATTTCTCTTTCTTGATTGTTTTCCTGTCTTTTTGAGTCTTCAGTCAAAAAATCAATTGTATAAGCAACTTGGCCAAGTAAGGCTTTGCCAATGTCCTTGGTCTGTGTTTGATCTTGCCCCATCCCTATCTCTGTGAGACTTACAGTGCAACTCAACAGAGGCATAGCTGGGGGAGGGGGGGAGGGGAGAACGCTGGGAACGCCCCTGCCCCGGGGGCCCATGCGGCTAGCTACACCACTGACTTAACATAGGCACCTCCGCTATGGACCTCTGCAGACTTCTAGGGAGGAAAAGCAGAGCTCATGCGTGATTTTTTTGAAAGCGGCAAAACCAGCATACTATACTGTTACATGCCACCCCCAATCTCCACAGCAGTGTAGGATTCCAGGGAGTTTCAGGCGCTTTTTACCCACCAAGGTCTGAGTTTCCTTTTGGACAATGAGGCACAGCAGAGACTTACACATATTTACAACCTGAGCCTACAATGGAGGGGTTCAAAGCATTGCACTCCAAGCAGGTTTGGTTTCTCCCATAGCTGCAGCCTTGGATTCAAACTGTCAACCTACATTGTGCTCTGACTCCCGCTTTCTCCGGCCTGCCACCACTTGCAAACTGCAACTCTTCCCCCACCCCCCTTCAGTTTACATCATCCCCAAATGTAATCCTGAAACTCCCTCCTAGAAACTGGCATTGTGTTCTGCTCCACCTGTTTGCTGGCTGGCACATAGTCTTAGCTTTGCTAATGCGTTTCTTAATGGCTCATCACCCTTCACTTTGTTAATGGCCATCTCTCTTACTTCATCAGTAAGGCAGCCTGGCTTATATTTGAATGTTTGCTGGGTTCAGGGGTTAAAAGGTCTGTAACAATACCTTCTTCCTTCTGTTAGCAATTCTGTTGGAATATGTTTATGCCTAGGCCAACCAGTGTGGTATTGATGGGAAGAAAGGCTGGATGAATGAGATCTTGACTGCTGGGGGGGGGATTGCATAAACATTGCACAAACAATACCTGTGTGTGTACACCTTTATATCCGCCTTCTCCAACCTGGTGTCCTCCAGATGTGCCAGCCAGCATGACTAGTGGTCAAGGATTATGGGAGTTATAGTCCAAAACATTTGGAGGGAACTGGGTTGTACAAGGCTATACAGTGGTACCTTGGGTTAAGAACTTAATTCGTTCCGGAGGTCCGTTCTTAACCTGAAGCTCCACTTTAGCTAATGGCGCCTCCTGCCGCCGCCACGCCACCAGAGCACAATTTCTGTTCTCATCCTGAAGCAAAGTTCTTAACCCGAGGTACTGTTTTTGGGTTAGCGGAGTCTGTAACCTGAAGCGTATGTAACCCAAGGTACCACTGTATGTGTGTGTAAGAATAAATAGTTATGCCCTTCCTCCTATTAGTGGTAATAAAATTACCAGTGTGGACCCTCAACATCAAAACAACCCCAAGACCTATGTTAATTTGATCAAATATACATACATAAGCTTCTTACCTCAGGCCCTGACCACTACTGGAATGTAGCCCCTGCCAGGTTGTCCAGAAGGGAAAGCAGCCCTCAGGTTGGGAAAGGTTTCCTACCTCTGATGTATAGGATTACACTTAGTCATCCAAAGCAAACATTAACTAATTGGTACAGGTGAAAGATTTCAAGGTGCATTGGATCATTGTCATATCATAGATAATTATGCTTGACTCTTTTTATTGCTTCCTTGCCTTGAGGATAGTGTCAGAAATCTCTACTGGATTTAAGTGAATACAATATATGGTGATTTTCCCTCACTCATTCTCTCTCTTTCTCTCTCCGTCTCTCCTGACATGCAGTATTTTTTTAAGTTGTTGATTTTATGATGTAATTCTGGAATTTCCAAAGTATGCTCAGAAAGGCAGGTGACCAGTTTTCTTCCAGCGTGGTCTTTGGTTGCTGCGTGGAGGAAAGGAGGAACGAATGAATCTTCAAGCTGTTTCTCCCCTCAAAAATATATCAATGTAAATTACTTCCTCTGCTTTTCTAAGAAACTTGCATTAAAAACAAAGCCCAGACAAACTGTAGAAACAATAATCTACAGTACAAAGTTAATTTAAAAGTTGGCAAAGAACAATAAAAGCATAAAACAGCCATAAAACACCTTATGAGATGGTTTCTTGTGCAGTAAATGTGCTGCTGCTGTTCGTTGCAGGGAATCCAAATGTCTTTCCCAAAATAGCAGTTGTGCTTAAAAAGAGTCTGCATTTAAATTACAGCAGTTTGTTGCTGGAAAGATTATCCCCTCCCCCCAGTCAAGGATGTACAGTGGTACCTTGGGTTAAGAACTTAATTCATTCTGGAGGTCCGTTCTTAACCTGAAACTGTTCTTAACCTGAAGTACCACTTTAGGTAATGGGGCCTCCTGCTGCTTCTGCGCCGCCGCTGCACGATTTCTGTTCTCATCCTGAAGCAAAGTTCTTAACCCGAGGTAATATTTCTGGGTTGAGCGGAGAGCCCCACCTGAGGGTATGTTCACATTACCGCTTTAAAGCTCAAGTTCTTTGTGTTCCCCTGCTGCCCCATGTGTAAGAACCATTAACAGGCTTCCTCAACCTCAGCCCTCCAGATGTTTTTGGCCTACAATTCCCATGATCCCTTGCTAGCAGGACCAGTGGTCAGGGATGATGGGAATTGTAGTCTCAAAACATCTGGAGGGCCGAGCTTGAGGAAGCCTGACTTAAGGACTCCAAGCTGGTTTGAGAAAAGTCACATTATACAGTAGTATTTTATAAAATAAAAAGGAAGTACAGGATGCATATGCATTTTGGATGACATTTGAACACGGATTAGAAACAGCACTGGAAACTGAAAACGCAAACACAGCCTGAGTCACATTTCCATTTCTCTATGTAAGTCTGATCCATATCCTGCTACTTTAACTCTGTGTGGTATATTCACTCCGCGTGTGTTTTGATGCTGCTTTCGCAGGGAAGTCACTTTCGTTACCTACTGATTCTGCAAGGACTCCTTTAGAGACCCCTCAGCAGGAAAATGCATCCTTGCATCCAACTGGGAACAAAAATAAGGCCACAGCAGGTGAGACAGAAATGCCAGCACTGCCAAATTCAGGTACAATACAGGCAGGGATGAAAACAAAACAAAAAATGTTTTCAAACTTTGGTGAAGTTCTACAAGGAAGTGGTTCTCAACTGGTGTTAACCACATGCGTGCAATGACTTAATTCCCAAATGTGTCATGCCCTAAAGTTTCAAGAAAGTTCTGAGTATTCTCAGCAGCTGACTATTTACTTAACCTTTGATTCTGCTGGAAGAAGTGAGAAAGTTGTCTGTGCTGCAGTAATTCTACAGATGCAATACTGAGCCTGGTCATTTAATAGTTGTGTAAAAGAGAATTTCAGCAGATGGTGCAGAGCTGAGAAAGGCTCAAAAGTTCTTTTTTCTATGTGACTGTTGAAGGTACAAGATCCCTAAATATAGTAGCACCTAACCTCTCCCTTCATCAAAGGAGGGTTATTGCATCTTACACATAGTACCTGAGTTTAAATGGCAAAATAATTGTGTTGTTGTTTAGTCGTTTAGTTGTGTCCGACTATTCGTGACCCCATGGACCAGAGCACGTCAGGCACTCCTGTCTTCCTCTGCCTCCCGCGTATGATTCATCAAATAAATGACACGTGCATATTTAAATTTCCTGAAATAAATATTTGGGTGCTCATTGGGAAAATAATAGGCCCTTACCTTTTCATGAGTTATGGAGAGACTTAGCCATTTAAACCAGCGGTGGGGAGCAGGTGGCCCTCCAGATGTTATTGGACTCCATCCCTCATCAGCAGCGTCAGTGGTTTGGGCTGACAGGACTTGTAGTCCGACAACACGTAGAGCATCACAGGTTTGCCCATCCCTGTGTTTAATTTACTTTTGACTAGACAATGCTCTAAACAGCTTTGTGCCATTCGTAATTAACTATATCTTTTTTGTAAACCGCTTAGTCAAGCCGTATATAAATTTTATAAAATAATAATAATAGTAATAATTTATTATTTATGCCCCGCCCATCTGGCCCGGTTTCTCCACCCACTCTGGGCGGCTTCCAACCGAATATTAAAAACACAATACAGCATTAAACATTAAAAACTTCCCTAAACAAGGCTGCCTTCAGATGTCTTTTAAAAGTAAGTTGCTTATTTCCTTGACATCTGATGGGAGGGCGTTCCATAGGGCAGGCACCACTACTGAGAAGGCCCTCTGCCTGGTTCCCTGTAACTTCCCCCATGCCTTACAAATGTCATACAATGGTGATCAGTGAGGGAACCTCCAGAAGGCCCTCGGCGCTGGACCTCAGTGTCCAGGCTGAATGATGGGGGTGGAGATGCTCCTTCAGGTAAACAAGACCGAGGCTGTTTAGGGCTTTAAAGGTCAGCACCAACACTTTGAATTGTGCTCAGAACTGTACTGGGAGCTAATGCACGTCTCTCAGGTCTGGTGTTATATGGTCTCGGCGGCCACTCCCAGTCACCAGTCAAGCTGCCGCATTCTGGATTAATTGCAGAAATAATAGTAATACAGTCGTACTTTGGAAGTCTAACAGCTTAGTTCCCGAATGTTTGGACTCCCAAACGTTGCAAAGTGGCTGTTCCAGTTTGCGAACTATTTTTGGAAGCCAAATTTCCGATGGGGCTTCCGCAGCTTCCGATTGGCTGCAGGAGCTTCCTGCAGCCAATCAGAAGCTGCACTTTGGTTTTTGAACGTTTTGGAAGTCAAATGGTCTTCTGGAATGGATTTCTTTTGACTTCCAAGGTATGACTGTAGTGATCTTTCACTAATCTGAACACATTTTTTTAAAAAAATAAAGTAAAAATAAAGCTACAGCTAAGCAGCCATGAAGTGGTTTGTAATACTGTATTTCAAATTAGTGCCTTAAGGTTTCCCCGCTAACCAATATGTCTGAAAGGCTACAAAATGGTCAGATGATATGTAACCACATTGATAGCAGAGAATGTTCCATTTCACTCTGTGGACATTACTTCCAAGCAAACATGTAGAGGATCAGAGTGGCAGAGAACATGATAATGTGTTCTTTTGTTGGAACAACTGGTGTGAAATGCTGGAGGACTTCTAACCCTGTGATTTTTTTTCAGCGGACACAGATGTTCAGAACAAAACAAATCTATTTCTTGTGGGGCCCTCGAGGTTGCACAAATAGCCTGTTCTTAAAGTACCTATTTTTGTCACTTTCAGATCCTGCTCTAAAACCAGAGGCACATTTGTTTCCTCTATCCCCACCTCCAACTTCTATGGACCTTCCACATTCTTTACGTTCAAATCCACCAGTATTGCCGAGTGTCAAGGTAAACGTTAGATTCATAGATTTAGAAGGGAACCTTAAATATCATCCAGCTGACCCCGCTGAAAGTTCTGCTATCAAAACAGCTTGCACCCAAGTTCTTCCTAATTTTCAGTCAAAAATCCTTGTTCTTGTTTGAATTTGAACTTGTTGGTTTGGGTGCAGATTTATACATATAAATAAATTGTTTTTTAAAAAATTGTGTCCAATATTTTACATGTTTTTGTAACTTGTCAGGAATAAGCAAGGACCAAACTACATGTTATTATTATTCACTCCTTTTTAAAAGCATGACTAAACTAGCCACTGTTGCTTAAAAGAAAAGAAGCCACGGGTGCCTTGATTCAGTGTCCTCTTGAAGTGGATCAGAGCACAGCAGTGATTTCCCATTGAAATTCACCCTCCCTCCCCAGGTGCTATTTGCCCATAAAAATGCTGTTTCATATCCTTCAGGGTCAAGTAGCAATGGATCTGTTGTTTGACAGGTGTGACATCCCCTTGGTGGTGTTCAGTGGAGTAACCCTGCTATGTCTTCTCTCTCTGAAATCTCTAGCCTGGCAGTTCTCCTATCGCTCAACAGGAAGCTATTCCTAATCTCCTCACTGCAAGCCTTTTGTGGGCTCCAGAAGAAGTGGAAGCTGTCACCAGTGGCTTCAGTGAGGAAAACCGAATCAGTGAAGGCATGTTTGCCATTGCCTACAAAGGTTGCAGGGACAACAATTTATACGTGGTTAAAAGACTAAAAGAGGTAGGTGACTTTCTTCGTTTAAGCCATAAATTAAACAAAAATTAGAAAAGCTGGTTAGAAATAGGTGTGCCACTGAATTCTTACAGTGGATTCTTGAAACTCCCCCTCTCAAGACCTCTGTTGATTTGGTGGAAGCCCCACAAGCACAGAATTGGAAAATCCAATGGAAAGAAAATAAGTACAGTGTAATTAAACCCAATGTTAACCATACAGAGAGGATAGTGTCCAGGCTCTAACCAGTCTGACAGGTTAGAAGTGCAAGCAAGTACCTGTGAGGCTAAGTACATGCTAAGGTGTCAATCCAGCAAGCAACATGCTCCCCTCCGCACACTTTCTTTTCGATACGTGGGGTGGGCACAGCTGTTAGCACAGCAAGCAGCTGGAGTCCTGAGATATTTGGGGGGTGGGGACACACACCTGAGTGGCAGAAGGAGGTGGCAAAGGCTCAGCAGAAGGCAGTGAACTGAGTGTATCTGGAGGGATGGCATGCTCCTCTGCTAACTGCCTGATCCTTCCCTGGGGTCTTCCTCTCCATGCCCGAGGCCACTGGGTTCCCCCTCCCCCTGGATCAGACACCTATTGAGGTTTGGAAATAATAACCTGGAACACATTGGGACATTCCCTAAGACTATCCAGCACCAGCTCTTTGAGTTCCCCCACTCATCCTCCGGCTCTGATCACCCCCTCTATGACACCTCAACAGGGCTCATGGCACTTAGTTGGATATCCCCTGTATGGATTAAATGACATTTGTAAAGCGCTACAGGGAACCAGGCAGAGAGCCTTCTCGGTAGTGGCACCCGCACTGTGGAATGCCCTCCCATCAGATGTCAAGGAAATAAGCAACTATCTGACTTTTAGAAGACATCTGAAGGCCTGTTTAGGGAAGTTTATAATGTTTGATGTTTTATCACTTTTTAATTATTATTAATATTCTGTTGGGAGCCGCCCGGAGTGGCTGGGAAAACACAGCCAGATGGGTGGGGTATAAATAAATTATTATTATTATGCACAAAGGAGCAGATTTCTAAGGGGTTGGTATACTGATTAAATTAAAAGATATCAAAGTTAAAATACCAACTGCATCACCTCCATTCTCAACTCAGCATTTTAATATTAGGCTCAGATTAGTCCTACTGAAGCTTAATTATCTGCTTAAGATAGCGGACAGTGGATATATGGTTTATTAGAATATATACATATATTCATCATTTAAACGGAGTTGACTATTGGGGCAAAAAATAAATGTATTCTCTTTTTATGCTTCACAGCAAAATCAGACACAAAAACTATTCCGTACAGAGGTACAGATCTGCTTCCGGTATGTAGCTACACAAAACTTGATGGTGTCTGCTCAAATGGCTTCAGTTTACTTTGTTTTTGAATTATGCAAATGAGCCTTCTTCTTTTTTGGATTGGATCTTTTAGCCCCTGCAGGATATGTGTGTGTTTGTGTGTGGAAAATTTACCATTACATGACAGAGAATGGTAAATAAGTGGAGGCTGTTTTGGTGTTTCTCTCCTTTGTAACTCAAATGCACACATCCCAGGCTGTTACACAGTCTTTGAATATTTATTGCTGTGCCTTTGCTTGTTGTAAAATCTTTGAAAATAATTAACTGCGATTAAAAGCTACTTGTCTGTCAGAATCAAAGATTTTCCCCATTATGTCCACTGCACTCAAGCTCTGGGCACTTCCCCAGTCTGCTTGGAAGGGGAACAGATGTGCATTTTTTTAACAACCAATAGCTCAAGGAATCCCTGATGTAGCAAGATCCAGCTCAAAAGCATGAGAACCTTCCCTGACTCACCCAGATTGTTCCTGTAATTCAGGGTACACGAACTGATGCACACCCCTAACAAATACACTGAGATGCAACTGTTTATTTATTTATTTGATTCCATTTATGAATCACTTCCCATGAAATATCTCCAAGTGATCTCACAGTAAAAATGTTAACAATAAAGACAGTTTTTAAAATCCCATATCTATCTGCCTGTCTGCCTCCTTGCGCACACTTCATATGTAAAAATATTTTCAGATTCAATACAGATACCAGCTCTTAGTAACTATAAGAAATAATTTTGTGGTTCTTCTGTAGCATGCAGTAGAAAAGTGTCAAGTAGGTATGTGTGTTTGTATGCACAGTTTGATGGAGCTCCACTATGGTCTGTATGTAAAAATAAGTCCCTGTGCTGCCTAAAACACTTCAGTTCAGTTTTGACATAGCAGTGAAGTTGTAATGCAAATATAAGCATGTCAGAAGGGTTGTTGACATACACATATTTTTAGACTTTGAAAGTCATTTCAGTATTTGGAGCAGAAGTCCTTGACTGGTTAGTTTACTTCACGTGCAGGAAGCAGTAGTGATGAATTGAGGTGGAGGGTGTGTGCATAAGCCTGAGGCATATTTCCGTTCTAATCTCACATGGCAGCGTGTAGAGCGAGGGAAACATCTGAAACATCCAAGACTTAGTACTCTCTACTGACTGAAAGGATTGCATACCGAACTGTGAAGATCAGGGCTGGCACAACCCATTTTGCCGCCTGAGGCAGAACAGGAAATCTACCCCCATCACTTGCCTCCACTGTTGCAATATGCCTCTGAATGACAGTTGCTGAGCATCGCAGCTTCAGAGAGTGCTGTTTTGCTCAGGTCCAGCAGGGCTCTTCTTATGTTCTTCAGTAGGTATCTTAAATACTGGTACATCACGTTTTCTCACATATCTGTTCAAATACCCTTTAGGAGTTGCCATCCTAACATTCTGCGGTTGTTAGGCTTTACTGTAGAAAGTGGATTTCACTGCCTGATATACCCTTACATGCCTAATGGATCGTTGATGGACAGACTACAGTGTCAGGTAAGCAACCAGTTTGCATGCTGTGTCACAGTTCCACAAAAATACTGTGTTAAAATCTGACATACTCTAATGTACTATACCAGGAATAGCCAACATGGTGCCCGCCAGATGTTGCTGGACAACAACTCCCATGATCCCCGGCAGCTGGTCTTGCCGACTGGGGGTGATAGGAGTTGCGGTCTTCTGCAACTGGAGGGCACCATATGGCTATCCTTGTATGATGCTAATGTTGCCCTGGCTGCACAGATGAGAGGAAAGGCACTTTGGCCACAGTCACTGGCCAGTTATTCTGACTCTCACCATTTTACAAACAGCTGCTCAGGGAGCCTGCTTCCCTGTTCCTTTTAGAAAGAAATCAGCTGCAGGTGCCAGTCAGTTGCCAATCACTGTAGCTGTAGAAATAAAGGCAAGAACAAGAACACCGTGGCCCCAGCTGCTAGCCAAAGGAGGTTGGACCTTCTCCTTTTCAGAAATAAAAAAATAAAATAAATAATAATAATAATAATTTATTATTTATACCCCACCCATCTGGCTACGTTTTCCCAGCCAATCTAGGCAGCTCCCAACAGAATATTAAAAACACGATAAAACATCAAACACTAAAAACTTCCCTAAACAGGGCTGCCTTCAGATGTCTTCTAAAAGTCAGTTGTTTATTTCCTTGACATCTGATGGGAGGGCGTGCCACAGGGCGGGCACCACTACCGAGAAGGCCCTCCGCCTGGTTCCCTGTGACCTCACTTCTTGCAGTGAGGGAACCGCCAGAAGGCCCTCGGCGCTGGACCTCAGTGTCTGGGCTGAATGATGGGGGTGGAGACGCTTCTTCAGGTATACTGGGCCGAGGCCGTTCAGGGCTTTAAAGGTCAGCACCAACACTTTGAATTGTGCTCAGAAACGTACTGGGAGCCAATGTAGGTCTTTATTTTTAGGACTTTAAATTAAATCTCCATTAAATGTAATTTTGTGTGTGTGTGTGTATGTTTGTGTGTGTCCACACACACACACACACACACACACACACATATATATATATATATATATACATACGGTGGTACCTCGGGTTACATATGCTTCAGGTTACATACGCTTCAGGTTACAGACTCCGCTAACCCAGAAATAGTGCTTCAGGTTAAGAACTTTGCTTCAGGATGAGAACAGAAATCGTGCTCCGGCGGCGTGGCAGCAGCAGTAGGCCCCATTAGCTAAAGTGGTGCTTCAGGTTAAGAGCAGTTTCAGGTTAAGAACGGACCTCCGGAATGAATTAAGTACTTAACCCGAGGTTGCTCAGAACTTTTGAGATGGAGTGGGACTATTGAATCAATGAATGATATTAAACCAAGTAGACATGCTGACCCACATTCTTTTTGTAACACATAGTCTGCATACATACCATACATTTAAAGCACATTTTTCTCCCCCCCCCCCAAAGCATCCTGAGAACTGTAGTTTGTTAAGGGTTCCAGGAATTATAATTCGGTAAGGGGGTAAACTGCAGTTCCCAGGATTCCTTTGTGTGTGTAGCTGTGTGCTTTAAGTGTCTGGTTTGTACACAGCTCTGGCCATCTAGCTCAGTGTTGTCCACACGGACTGGCAGCAGCTGTCCAGGGTTTCAGGCAGGGGACAGTCCCAGCCCTACCTAGAGATGTTGGGGATTGAACTTGGGACCTTCAGCGTGTAAAGCAGACGTTCTGCCGCTGGACTACAGGCCCTTTCCCAAAGGTCATTGAGTAATTGGTGGTGTAGGGGCAGAAACAAGTTCAAACATTTGCCTGCATCAGGTATTGAAAAGGTTACACGTACTTTTATGTGGGGAAAATATTTACTGCCACAAGGTGAGACAGGGCAGGATTTGTCTGTCAGCTTCTGCTTGTGGTTTAAGAAACTAAAGAAGTGTATGACTAGTTCTTTGGACTTGTGATTTGTGAAGAGTAGCAGCCCCCATCTGAGCCAACATTTTTTGAAAACTGGGGGTGGGTGAGGTTAAAAAAGCAGGAAGTAGCATGGAATCTACTGATTAAAGGGGGGAAATACCATAAGGACTGGCCAATCCTAGGATGTGCTCAGCATAGTTCTCTTGATGCCCAGTTACGGAATCTGTGCAGTATTGGAGTTCAAAATCTGTTCTGCTCAGATAATCAATCCGAAAGTAACAGTATTGTAACGACTTTTATTAGGTATTGTACTGCTGTTACCTTTGGACTTATTCCCCTAATGAACCAACAACCAGACAATTCCATGTCTGTATTTTAAAAGGGAGAAACTATTCCCTCCAGTCCTGTGAATTGTTTGATTCCTGCGTTGAACCAGCATGAGATTTAATTGTCCACCTATCAGAAAATTTGGGCCAGCAGAGAGCTTGGTTACTCCTACCGAGAAAGGTACGTTGATGGTCACACAATCTCTTCCCTTCTGTTGCAGGGTGGTTCTGAACCACTAACATGGGAGAAACGCATCAAAATTTCTTTGGGACTTGTTCAAGCTGTTCGGCACTTGCATCACTTAGGAATTATTCATGGAAATGTGAAAAGGTGAGGAGCTGACTTTAAAACACTGTTCTCTTCTTTATGCTATCAAAATATATATTTTAATAAGCTGGTGAACATTTTCAATTGGTTAAATATTTTGTTGCAAGACAAGAATAGAAATTGGTTCCATTTCAGTTCATTATTGGTTTTTGGATAGATAAGCATATATAATTGCAGACTATTTGTGCAATGATGGACATGCCTACAGCGTCTCTTGCTTTGTACTACAGTTATAATTCAGTTGCATTGAAGAGCAATAAGCTTGAAATGTGTTTGTGATAGGATTAGATATCTTTGTGCACTAACGGGAACTTTCTGTTTTCTACTTCTTTGAAATACTTCTTTCTTTTGCTAGGACTGGAAAACAGAATTAGAACAGATTTATCGTCAAGTAGTATACTTATTGTGCATTTTGCAAGGCAGAATCAGCAGGCAGTGTGGAAGTGGGAGGAATCCTTTTCCACTGGCTGATTATCCCTTGCTGGTTTTAGCCCATTTCCATCCCAGTCAAAAGTAAGCCCTACTCAGGGGGCAATGACTATAGGTCACTTATACAGGGAAGAATTAGTGGATGCCAGAAGGGTAACATTCATTTCTTCTGCCCACCAATTATTGCTACAAATGTTCAACTAGATTCACATTTTCTTAGGATCCAGGTTTTGCAAAATCCACCGTTTGGGGTGATGTATTATTTGCCCTAGGGATGTGGGTGGCACTGTGGTCTAAACCACTGAGCCTCTTCGGCTTGCCGATCAGAAGATCGGCGGTTTGAATCCCCGTAATGGGGTGAGCTCCCGTTGCTCGGTCTCAGCTCCTGCCAACCTAGCAGTTCGAAAGCATACTAGTGCAAATAAATAAATAGGTACTGCTCCAGTGGGAAGGTAAACGGCGTTTTCATGCCCTGCTCTGGTTTCGGTGTTCCGTTGCACCAGAAGCGGCTTAGTCATGCTGGCCACATGACCCGGAAAAGCTGTCTGCGGACAAACACCAGCTCCCTCGGCCTATAGAGTGAGATGAGCGCCGCAACCCCCGAGTCGTCTGCGACTGGACTTAACTGTCAGGGGTCCTTTACCTTTACCTTTTTATTATTTGCCCTACAATTAATAGGAAAATAGGTGTAAATAAAATACTGCAGTTCAATAAGACTGATACAATTTCTGCCTTAGTATACCTTTGCAGTATTAGCACTTTGTCAGGACACTCTTATTTATTAAAAGGGTACTTAAATTAGTTTGCATTATCCCAGGCTACGCTATCACTTTCAGATGTGAATGACTACTATTTCTTGTAGCTCAGTAGTCTTCAGAACTGAGACCTATGTTTGTTTGTTTATTAAGATTCATTTATATGCTTTACTCAAGGCAAATATTGCATTACACTTCGATTTTATTTTATTTTATAAACTTTATTAAAACTTTAAAAAATAATTGCCAAACACAGTCTTCCAAGGCAAATATATGTATAGATGTTAAGTCTTGTGGATGCCATACTGGTTACTGCATGCAAGACGGAGACCCATATTTAGTCCAAGCATGCTAGTGGGTGGGGGTATTTCTTTATTGTCTTACTAGATATTTGTAGCGCTGTTTCTGTATCCCAACATAGGTATTGCTGTGGCACTAGTTGAAAACCAATGTTGTAACTGACATTTTACTTGCACTTATCTTGCTTGCACAGTTCCAACGTATTATTGGATGAAAACTTTGCACCACAACTTGGACATTCTGGTCTCAGGTTGCAGCCTGCAGAGAAAAAATCTGAGCGCTCTGTGATGAAAACCAAAGTCTTGCAAGCTTCTCTCGCTTACTTCCCGGAGGATTTTGTCAGGCACGGGCAGCTAACGGAAAAAGTGGACATATTTGGTTGTGGAATAGTAAGTTGCCCACCTGTTGTGTGCAATGCTATATATGATCCTCATCTCAAGAGTTTGGCAAGTTTTCATGGAAGTGAATTTCATATATTGCTTTCTCCAAATGAGTTAGCTTAGTGTCAATTTATTTTAAAATCAGACTCTGGGTCTGGAAAATTATAGGTCATAAATCAGTGATAGGACACACTCTTTGCAGGCAAAAAGCCAGATTCTATTCTAGACATTGCTAGTGAAAAAATTTTTGGCTGATGGCTCTCGCCCTGACCTAGCCACTGTGATCCACGCGACGGTCAGCTCCAGACTGGATTATTGTAACTCGCTCTATGTGGGGCTGCCCTTGAGACTGACCCAGAAACTCCAGCGGGTGCAGAATGCCGCGGTGAGACTCCTTACGGGGTCCTTGCTGCAAGGTGCTATACCAGTTGCACTGGCTCCCTGTGGAGTACAGGATCAGGTTTAAGGTGCTGGTTTTAACCTTTAAAGCCCTATACGGGCCTAGGACGCTCATACCTATGGGACCGCCTCTCCTGGTATGCCCCACAGAGGAACTTACAGTCTTCAAACAAAAACATCTTGGAGGTCCCAGGCCACAGAGAGGTTAGGCTGGCCTCAACCAGAGCCAGTGTTTTTTTGGCTGTGGCTCCAATCTGGTGGAACGCTCTGTCACAAGAGACTAGGGCCCTGTGGGACTTGACATCTTTCCGCAGGGCCTGCAAGACAGAGCTGTTCCACCAGGCCTTTGGCCAGGGCACAGCCTGACTCCCTCCTTTGGCAGTCTTCACAGAATTCTAGCCCAATGGTTGCCATTAATTTGATTTGAATTAATTTTATAATGAAATGATTTTAGAATGTTGTATTATTTGATTGTTGTTAGCCGCCCTGAGCCCGGCTTCGGCTGGGGAGGGCGGGATATAAAGAAAAAATTAGTAGTAGTAGTAAAGAGCTCTGCCTGAGATGTAGGATAGAAGCTGTGAGTCAGAGTAGATAATGCTGAGCCAGACTAATTGGAACACTTACACTGAGTGGTGTAACCAACACCAGTGGTTTGCAACCTTTTTGGTATGGCAACCCACAAGTCCAGATTTAATTGATATAGTGACCCATTGATTCATTATTGCATGAATTCTAGACCTTAGGTCTCAGCAGCCATCAGTCGCATGCATTTTAAATGCACATTAAGCAATTTTATAACTTGCGACATCCAATAGGAAAGTGTTCTTAGCAACTATGAGCACAAGTATTTGGGGCCTGAGTCATGTGAACACCTTCAATTGGTGTGAATGGTTGTGAAAACAGACTAAAAGTGCTGGAGGCAATGCTTGGGGAGGTCAGGAAAAGGGCTAAGTAAGACTTGCCAATGTTTCAGAGGCAGGGTTTCAGTGTTCTTAGTGGCTCCGACTGTCAGAAGAATAAATTAGGCAATATTAAACATCCACCTGCAAATTGGCATCCTTTATCCACAGATTTCAATTTCTCTGAACACTGAATTTATTTGTTTACTTCAGTTCAGAAGCTGTGCAATATACACATCCCTGAATATAGCAATTTCACAACTTGTAATGACTGTTTGCTTAATGGACATCTTGTTTGAGCGCAGAGAATGAATACTGATATTCCTTTGATCTTAAGGAATAATCCATTCTAAAAAGGGAAAGTGTGTAATTATAAAAACAATGTTTTCAAGGTTTTAGCAGAGATACTGACTGGCATGAAGGCAATGGATGAAGGAAGGAATCCTTTTTACCTGGTAAGTTAAGTGTGTGTGTGTTGGTGCTTGAAGCAGGATCATTCCTGATAGAAGATCTTCAACCTGGTCCAAAGAATACAATCCTTATGTTTTCCCATGCAGATCAGTTCTGCAGTATATGCCAGATCTTCTCTTTTTAAAATTATTTATTATTTATTATTTATTTAACTTATATACCGCCCTATACCCAGAGGTCTCAGGGCGGTTTCACAGAGCAAAATCAAAATATAAAACCACAAAATATATAATCGAAATAAAAACAATAACCCAATACCCCCCCAAACCTACTGCTAGCAATGGGACTGCCACATTCAAAATCCTAGTACTGCCTTTACAACCCTTAGACAGCTGAATGCTGAACTGGATCTGAGTGAACATGTTTTTTTATACATATACTTACCAAAGTAAACAAAAAAAATTATTATTTTTACATGCTGCATAAATACAGGGCCGTCTTAAGCATATCCGGCGCTATGGTGCAAAGATCCCTCCGCACGCCCCCTCCCGTTTCCCAGAGTTGTCGACCTTTTTTAAGGGGGAGAACCCCAAAGTTGTAGGAAAGGTTCCCCAGAGTTGTTGACCTTTTTTTTTAGGGAGCTGACACCACACTTACCCATTATCTCTAACAAGCCCTTAGAACAAAATGAAATAAAAAGGTAGAAGAAAATCTAATGAAGTCCTCAATTCCAAAGCAAGACTCATTCAAGACTCAGCAGTTCTTCTAATTCATCCTCGTGATTCAAATCACCACATATCAAAAAGTTAAAGCAATCACCCGTTTGTTGTTCTTTAAATAAATTGATAAAGACACAGAGAATGAAGTTCCAGGCCAACTTGTGATAAAGTACAAAGCTGACGTTTTCAGATATTGTGGGGGGGTGTAAAGTGGTGACATCCTGAACCTAGAAAGGACCCGAAACTTGGGTCACAAAGGCTGCAGCTGCACTTACCTGAGAGTAAGCCCTGCTGAATCTAAAGGACTTTTTGTTGGTGTTTGTTTGTTTCTAACCACTAACTGCATGGAGAGCATGCTCTCGAGTCTATCCTTACCTCTGAACTGAGTCCTAATGGTAGTGCGCGCCCCCCCCAGCTTTCCCCTCCCATGCCCCAAATCTGACTGAATCCCTCCTCCACCTTTTTCCTCAACGGACGGGGCAATGTTCTCGGTGCCCTTCCGCCTCGCCGTCCTCCTTGCCCCCTGTGCTGGGCAGCTCAAGGCTCACTTGCCGGGCGGGCTTCCTCAGCAGTCCTACTACTGTCGGGGGCAGACAGGAGGGAGATGGGCGCTGCGTAGTTTTGCACGCTGCTGCTGCTGCCTCCTCTCCTAGGCAGGAAGCGAGAGAGTGCGGCTGGCCGTAGGAAGAGCCGCTGCCACCCAGCGTTCCCTCGCAGCCGTTCCCGGTCAGTCCTGGACTCCCGCTGCTGGGCATCCCGATGGGTGGGCACCATGGCCCAGGGCACCACTAACCCTAATGGGTAGCACGGCCCGGCATAAATATTTTAAGAGTTTCCTGCAATAACCAAAAGTACTTGAACTGGAGGGGAAATCAGTTTGGAAACCCCCCTCCCAGTAAAACACACACAGGACTCATCCAAACTTCTGATTGTTCCGCCACTTTCCCTGGGAAAACCTGATATTTACTGTTGAATCACAGCACACATTAAACGGGTTTTCTGCAGATTGATGTTTGTTCTGATTCAGTGCTAAAGAGTGGGTTTTCCCTAGGCAAGCTATGGGGCAAACAGAAAACTTTTTGGACCCATGCTTTCTAAGCACAGGACAAGCGAAAGTGTGGACAAACCCTTAGAGAGCAATCCTATGTCGCTGGAACTAATCCATAGTAGTTTTTAAGTTCTCATGACCTTGCCATTTATTTTTTTGTATGACCTGCCTTAATTATATGAAAATTAAATATGAACACTGTCCTCTGCTTCATAGTGTAATTTTGAGGCAGTCGTCTGAATGAGCTAGCCAGCTTAATATTGTTCTCGTACAAAAGGAGCTGAGCACACTGCATTTCTCCTTCTCATTTTCTTCCATAGAAAGATGTCTTCCTTGATGAAATCCAGGCGGCAAAGGAACCATCCAGTTCTAAGGAGAAAACCTTTGAAAGACTCGCTGCCACAGAAATATGTCACAAATATCAAGACAAGCTTGCAGGTCACTTACCAGAAATGACTGCTGTTTGGTTGGCCACTGCTTCCTGTGTTTGCCTGCGGAAAAAAAATGCTAACATGGCAGAGGTAAGTGTACTTCTCTTCTTCCACTTCCTGCTACAACAGCAAAGCTTTGCCCTGCATTCTTATAGCTTTGCAGCCGAGTAGTGCAGGTCTGTATCTCTGCTATTGTCCTGCATCTGGCTATTATTTGGGGTAGGGGAGCTAGTTTGTGCAAAATCAGCACACAGAACAGATTCTTGATTTATTGGACGCCACGAGTACACACACTGGTCTTAGCTGCAAAGAGTGACAGGAAGATATATATCCCTAGACTTGAGGGACGTTTGTTTGTTTATACCCTGCTCCTTAATAAAAAGATTCACGAGACCGCTTATAGAATAATGAAAATATCCGTTGCGATAAAGCCATGAAACACGGCAACAGATAAAACACTAAAGATTTGTTTGATCAGAATGGAAACCAGAGTCTGCAAACAGACTCTTTTCTTCACTTTTTATGCATTTACTACAATAAGCACCATGGTGCTACACAAACAGTGACTTAGATCATTGTAGAAAAGGTGGATGTAAGATTGTCCAAGTTTTTTTCCATATAGTGGGCAGACCATACATCTCTAAAGGATTGAGGCCAACAGGTGTAGGGCAGGGGGCCACCACCCTCACAGCAGTAGATTCAGGCTGTCTTGCTGGTGATGAGGTGACAGCATAATACTCCAAACTCATTGCTAGAATGCCAGCACTCATAATATGTCTATAAACCATATCCCTCTTCATGAATGGGGTGGGGATGAGGGGTCACACATGGAGTGGGTTGAGATCGCAGCCCCTTGGCCTCACTTCTGACCCGCTGCTCCTATGCCTCTGATCTTTATGAGTTTGTCTGGACATCTGCAAGGGTCACCTACACACATGCAGTTGGAGGCATTTCACACAACTGGGGCTCCTGTGTGTTGGTGGGCATCCCTTACTATACAGTGGATGTACGCTGGAGATGAGGCCAGCAGGACAGGCAGTGTCATGAGTGGAGGCAGCAGGCAAAGTTCCACTCCTTTCATTTTCTTAGTACTTACCGTATTTTTTGCTCTATAAGACGCACCAGACCACAAGACGCACCTAGTTTTTGGAGGAGGAAAGCAAGAAAAAAAATAATTCTGAATCTCAGAAGCCAGAACAGCAAGAGGGATCGCTGCGCAGTGAAAGCAGCAATCCCTCTTGCTGTTCTGGCTTCTGGGATTGCTGCGCAGCCTGCATTCGCTCCATAAGACGCACACACATTTCCCCTTACTTTTTAGGAGGGAAAAAGTGAGTCTTATAGAGCAAAAAATACGGTACTTTTTTACTTAAGTACTTACCTGTTTGCTTAAGAGTGTGTGTCCCTAAGTGTTGAAGGAAGCAGTTGCATTCTTTCAGTGAGGAAAATCTGAATGAGCTGTTTTAACATTGCTGTTAAAAAAACAGGTGCATGAAATAATCGAAATGGCAGATCATCAAATACAGTGTCAGAAAATGCCCGAGTGGAACAGATACCATGGACTCTCCATGAATACTCCAGAAGAAAACGATGAGTCAGCCAGCCCCCTTCATTTTGGTTTCTCAAATGAAGCAAATCCCGGGTCTTTGAACTGTGGAGATTTGTTACCACCTTTGATGAGCGCCATGTCTCCTGAAACATACTCTGGGCAGATATTACGGGTCCCTTGCGAGTCAGATGAATCAAGTAACTTTTCGTGGGACCCTACAGATGCTGCTGCTGCCTGCCAGCCACCAAGCAACAACTCTCAATATCTAGAAAATGTTTCTCCCACAAAGCCTCTGGCAAATGATTCAGAATATAGCAGTGTCTTCTCAACAAAAAATATGGACTCTAATAAGGAGCCACTAGAAATAACTGGTTCTTTAAATAAAACAACTCCATCAAATACAAATACGGAAAGCTCTGGTGCTGCCTGTTCTTCACAAGGTAACAAGGTAACTTTTAAATATTCTTTGAGGAAAATTAGGAACATTTATGACGTATATAATAACAGTAATACAAATATTATTATTTCATCAATTTGCATGGCAAGATGATCCCTGTCCTGAAAACCTGACAGTCTAAAATTGGCCACAGGGCAGACAAGAGAAAGGTGAGAGAAGTGGATGAAGGGTAAACAGGGGAGGAATATGCGGCTGTTTCAGATGCTTAGGCGTAGTGAGAGTATTTCATTAAGGCTTGGGAACTAGATAGTTGTGTCAAAGGCTTTATGGAAAAAGTGGACTTATAGGAAGGATTTGAAAGAGTAAGAGAAGTGGTATCATGCAAGGGTTCTAGGATAGTTCCAAGCACATGGGGAAGCAAGTTCAATTAAAACAAAAATAGGCAACTTCAGAATTATACTGTGACCTGGACTGTTGGAGCTAAATTATGTGACATGTAATTAACACCATTTTGGTATCATGTAGGATGTGGTAGATGGGTTTCATGTTGTCATCATACTTCGCTTATTCTGCAATAGTTTCGATTTTGTAGTGGCCCTCAGTTTTTTTAAAAAAATGAATCAACTCTTGGGGGAAAATGGATTCCTTAGCAGTAGTCTCTCCTGCTGTATAACATAAAATCCCTGGGATAGATCATCCAGGGATTGGGCAATTAGCTTATTCAAAATAACCTTTACCTCAGTAATTAGTGATTGTATACATTATTTGTAATGTCACTATATTACATTGCTTATTTGCGCTTTCTTTCAGCAGGGGTGAAAGAAATAAAAATCAACGATAAAAAGAAAAAGATGATGGAACGATTTTTATTGTATGAAGAAAATAAGATAAATACTTGTGAACTCCTTGAAGATTTGATGTAACTAAATCATCATCCATGCAGTTTGCAGAAGATTAAACTTTACTGGCAGTAGAAACAAAAGCACAGTGCATTTTTTGAAGTTACATTGGGTACCTATACAAGATATAGGATAGGATGGGGAGAGCATCAACTTGAGGTGATTAGTGTCAAGAAGATTATATTCACAGCTTTATGGCTGTGATTGAAATGTATTTTGGTAGACACAGCTCTCTTGAAACCAAAGGCTGCAGCCAAAGTGAAGCACAGAACAGAACAAGAGGGAAAAGCATCCTTCTCTAGCCATTGTATAAACTGAATTTTATGGTACATTTATAGTGCTTGCCTGCACTATGAATAAAATGCTTTGGGGGGGTCTTCTCTTGCTCATGGTTTTATCATTGTCTTTTTATTTTACACAAACCTCCTCTGACATGGCAAGAGAATTCTTCTTTACAACATGAAGACTCAAGTTACTTGCTTAAGGAACTGCTATGGTCAGAATTCTATTTGTATTTAGATTTTATTTATTCATTTCTTACATGTATATCCAATTACTCAAGACAGCACACATGTTTCTTCCCCTTTTATCATCACATCTCTGCAAGTTAGGTTACATTGAGGGATGATGACTGGCTCAAAGTCACCTCAGTGAACTTCATAGACAAGGAGGTTTGAACATAGGTTACCCCAGTGTGATGCAATATACAGAACTGATGTCGTGCTTTGCATCCAAGCAGACAAAACTGGTTAGAGTTCTGATTGCTCTAAATTTAAAATGCATCTATAGCAGCTAAAATAATATACATTTTGCAGGACTGTCTAGTTTGTACATTCCTTAGAAATATAATTCAGAATACAGCAACTCACACTAACAATGCAGTCCTATGCATGCTTATTCAGAAGTAAGTTCTACTGAGTTCAATAGGACATATTACCAGGTAAACCAATAGGACATAATACCAGGTATTAATATTGTAGCCCAAATTTGGCAAAATCCTGTGAATGAGACATATTTCAATACTATAGAGATTTAAGCAGTCCTAAATCCAAGATATGCAGATGACACAACCTTGATGGCAGAAAGTGAGGAGGAATTAAAGAACCTTTTATTGAGGGTTAAAGAGGAGAGCGCAAAATATGGTCTGAAGCTCAACATCAAAAAAACGAAGATCATGGCCACTGGGCCCATCACCTCCTGGCAAATAGAAGGCGAAAAAATGGAGGCAGTAAGAGATTTTACTTTCTTGGGCTCCATGATCACTGCAGATGGTGACAGCAGTCACGAAATTAAAAGACGCCTGCTTCTTGGGAGAAAAGCAATGACAAACCTAGACAGCATCTTAAAAGTAGAGACATCACCTTGCCAACAAAGGTCCGTATAGTAAAAGCTATGGTTTTCCCAGTAGTGATGTATGGAAGTGAGAGCTGGACCATAAAGAAGGCTGATCGCCGAAGAATTGATGCTTTTGAATTATGGTGCTGGAGGAGACTCTTGAGAGTCCCATGGACTGCAAGAAGATCAAACGTATCCATTCTTAAGGAAATCAGCCCTGAGTGCTCACTGGAAGGACAGATCGTGAAGCTGAGGCTCCAATACTTTGGCCACCTCATGAGAAGAGAAGACTCCCTGGAAAAGACCCTGATGTTGGGAAAGATGGAGGGCACAAGGAGAAGGGGACGACAGAGGATGAGATGGTTGGATGGTGTTCTTGAAGCTACCAGCATGAGTTTGATCAAACTGCGGGAGGCAGTGGAGGACAGAAGTGCCTGGCGTGCTCTGGTCCATGGGGTCACGAAGAGTCGGACACGACTAAACGATTAAACAACAACAAAAAATCCAAGATTACTCTAGCTGATAGACTTGGTACTTCTGTTTCATGTAGCAACAACCTTTTGCTTCTTCAGCAAAACTGCATTATTTACCTCCTAATGGTAAGTGGTTCAAAGGGATGGTTGTATAGAAAATATTAATGCTGTATTGGTGATTTTGGGGGTTTAAGTTTGCTAGTAAGCTAATGGTATTATTATAAAACTATTTATTCCCTGACAGTGTTTACCTTTTGAAGCTATTAATGAATACTGTATATTGGAAATATTTTGTAGCATATTTTGTATTTTATGTATTTTCAGAACTTTGATATTTTTTAAAAAACTAAGTTTTGAAGTATATTTGCATCTATTGTGTTCTATCCTTTTTGGCATTAATAATTTTGCTTGCTGGAGTTTTGGGGTTGCAGGGGGCAAGTCTTGCAGTGCAATCTTAAGACTTGTGTACTGAAAAATAAGTGTCATTAAGTTCAGTGGGGCTTACATCTAAGTAAATTTGTATAAGCTTCCTGTCTGAAGCATCCAAAGAGATGACAGAAATAGATTATTATGCAGTTCCATGGCTTTATTGAATAGCTATATTTCCCCCCCTTTGAGCTCCATAACTCATCATTGCAATATACTTTTCAGGTTCATTGCTCCAAATGCTTAAAACAAATTATACATTTGAAATAAATTATTGAAAAAGGCTGTTTTGTGAATGTGGTCCTTTTAATGGTCTACGGTGTTCTGTCTCCATATAAATTCTTTCTCTAGTTACAGTGGTGCCTCGCAAGACGAAATTAATCCGTTCCGCGAGTCTCTTCGTCTTGCGATTTTTTCGTCTTGCGAAGCACGGCTATTAGCGGCTTAGCGGCTAAGCTATTAATGGCTTAGCGGCTTAAAGAAAAAGGAAACAAACTTGCAAGAACTCGCAAGACGTTTCGTCTTGCGAAGCAAGCCCATAGGGAAATTCGTCTTGCGGAATGACTCAAAAAACGGAAAACTCTTTCGTCTTGTGCATTTTTCGTCTTGCAAGGCATTCGTCTTGCAGGGCACCACTGTATATGTGCCACTGTTTATGGTACTGAACATAAATTTGTTTTGTTTATAATAGCCTGCGCTACATCTATCGGGACCCCTAGCGGGTTGCAGCACACAATCCCATAAAGTACAATGCAGTACACAGTAAAACTCAACAGTAACATTTCAAAAACCATCTTCACATTTCAAGCAGTTAAAAAGGTCAGAATTCCACAATGCTGGTAAATCAAGTGTGGGCCATATATAGCTATCACTAGGGGAAAGTGCCTTGCATTTTCATACTCCACACTGTAGGGCCCTAGCAAGATGGTTCAATTATCTGAGTGTGTCTCTACAGATGGAGTTGCTTGGATCCCAATTATTTGCTCTCAGCACGTGACTAGGGCCCCAGTGGTCATCTCCAGTTGCATAGAAATGTCTGAATACCACAACCGGCCACAATTCCCCACGGAACTGGGCGTTTTGGAGAGGACGGCCTCTCTCTGCGGGGTCTTCGCCGGCCAGCGACGAGAACGGAGCCTGCGTCCGGCGCAGCTCCATACACGCCCAAGCTTAACCGGCTGCCGAACAGGTTGCGCAAGCGCGCTTCTCCGCACCCGCCAAGTTCGCTTCCTCTTCCCGTTCTACTGCCCTTCGCTTCAGTCACGCGGACCCCTGCTCCCGGCCACGCGCCCGCCCCCTGACCCTCCTCTCACCCAATCAGAAGGCGAGCCTGTCCAACAGCTTTCCCCCCCTCCCCTCTCCGCTTCTCCCGGCGTTCGGTTGCCGCCCCTGAGCTTTGTGAAGAACAGGGCGGCTGCGAGCGAGAGGAGGGGCGCGCGGTACTGTACTGAGCGACGAGAGCGGGGCCCGGGGCGGGGGCGGGGGGTGGGAGAGGAGAGGGAGACGCCGCCCGGCCTTGTAACTGCCAACCGCCCTAGTTTGAAAAGTGGAAGCCGCGCGTGGGGCAATGTTCCCCCAAGGGGGGGGCGGTTGACGCGGAGAGGAAAAGAAGGCGGCTTCGTCTCCGAAGGGGCGGGCCCCCCCGGTGAAGGCAGCCAATGGCTGCCGGCGCTTGGCAAGGAGGGAGGCCGCTTGCAGCCCCTGAGGAAATGTCTTCCTGGTCTCTCTGCCTCTACTCCTTCCAGGAGTTAGGCGGGTTGTGGCTCCGCGGTCAACTGCCCCGCCCGCCCCGCATTCCTGCTTCCCACTCAAGGCAGGCTGGGAGCTCCGGCCTCTTTTCCTCTGTGCCTCCTTTATGGGTGTTGAAGGAGGGAGGATAGAAAGAGGCGCCCTGGCGAGTTGCTGGTGACATGGGTGGATCAGGGCCTTGATAAGCACAGGTACCTGAGTTCTGTGGGCACTAGCCTGGGAAACTAGCTTGAGAAACTGTGGTGGAAGTGGGGGAGCATGGCTGTCTGTTCTCCAGTCTTCTTTGCATACATACACACAAGTTCATACTTTAAAAGGACATGTTTCTTACGCATTGCTGTTCTCACACGTTACAGAAGTGTGTTACAGAAATGCGGCGCAAGCTTGGGCAGCGTGTATGTGTTAAAAACTCTGGCTTTTCTCTCTTTTCATGCTCAGATAATCCAGCCTCAATGCAGCCAAACAGGAGGCGTAAAATAGAGTGGGACAGCTTGTCTGTTGGATCACCCGCCAAATATCGCAGACTCGCCAAAGAAGCGCCGTCACAGCCTTCCCCTAGCAGTAGGTCTGCTACATCCATTGAGACGGCTACATTCAGGAAAGCTCCAGAGTCCTATAAAGCGTTCTCGAGAACTTCGTTCGCCGCAGCGGATTCTTCCTCTGATGAGACTGAAACGAATGATGGAACTGACAGCATTCTTAGAGAGAGCCCAGATCACCCTCTTTCCAATAAACTGTTCCTTGTAAAACGTCCCGCCTGTGACATGTCTGAGGAAAATGTGACATCTTCGCCTCAAGAATCCTTGAAACAAAAGGTAGATAAGTGATGGAAAATATTGGAACATCAGGCGGGGTCGAGGGGAATTGCATTTGTTTATAATGTACTTGTGTTTGTTTTTATAGTTTTTATCATGGATGATAAAATCCTACCTTGGGAGTTTTTGTTGAAGGGTAGGATAGAAATTGTATGAATATTTAAATAAAATGTATTCAGGTTGCAATTCTTTGTCCCTTGGGAAGTGTCTTAGAGGGAGCCGTATATACCAGAGCTTCTCCAGTGCTAGAACTTACGTCTGATTCCAGTGCCACAGTGCCTCTATAACTCTGGCCCTATTGTAGTTGTTGGGCCAAACGGGACATGTTTAAGCTGTTTGTGGGCATGTTAGGGGAGGACTGTGAAATACTTTGAGTCTTTGGATTTACAGTCTTCTCAGCAGCTTTGAAGTGCCTCCAAACTGGAGAAAGAGATATTCCCACATGGGACCTGGTGTAAGTCTGTCCTGTACTGTTTCCAATGAGAAATCTAGCCAATCTAGCCAATGGGAATCAGTAGCAGTGTGGATCCAGCAGTGCTTTAAATACGATGGTTAAAACACATTTTTCTCTCTCAGCCCCTTAGGATTGCAGCCTTAGTGGAGCATCCTTGGTAGCTTTTCATACTTTTTGAGGATAGTCAGGTTTTCAGAAATTTGTTATTTTATGTCCAATTGCTTAGGATTAATTTGCCCTAACCAAAATCCTTTTTTTTTTGCAAACTATTGTATGGTTCTTTTAGGCTGGCCTTTTTAACCTACAATGTGAAGATATCATTTCTATGAAATGGATACTAGGTATGTTGTATGAAGTTTACACTGTTTACTGTTATTTACTGTTATTTACTGTTTAGATTAAACAAGATGGCTGCAGTGAGACAGGTCCAAGCCTCACACCAAGCACAGAAAGAAAAGGTGCTTCAAAGGAAGCAGGTGCTGAATGTGGCAGGAGGAGAATGAAAGACCAGGACCAAGGATCTCGACTAATATACCGCAAAGCTTTGCTTGCTATACTTGGGGGACCACTGCGACCTAGAAGAGAGGTGGCACCTCCAAATGGAACCCTGGAAGAAAGCGTTTCTAAAAAAGTGGCATCTGAATCAGCTGGCCACCTGAGACGTCCCTCAACAGCATCAAAACTTGGAGAGCAGCAACCTGGAAAAGAGTTAAACTGTCTGAAAACCATAGAAAAAGAACACATTAATATTTCTATCAGGCAGGATAGAAAAGAGTCTCATGGGTCAGATGGCAGCTCAAGACGTGTATCTGTAGTTTCAAGTTCAGAAAGAGAAAAAGACTTTAAACAGGAGTCCACCTTTCAGAAAGCTGCTGCAGAAGATGAACATAATATCTCTAGGCATTGTGGAAAAGAGGCTTCCAGATCAAAGGGTAGCTTGAGGCATATTCATGCATTATCAAGATCTGAAGATGAACCAGAAGTTGAACAGGACTCTGTCTTCCAGAAAGCTGCTGCAAAAGAAGAAAAGAAAACCTCTAGGCATAGTGGGAAAGTGGCTTCCAAACCAGGTGGCAACTCAAGGCACATTCATACATTAACAAGAATTGAAGATGAACCGGAAGTTAAGCAGGAGTCGACCTTTCAGAAAGTTGCTGCAAAAGAAGAAAACAGTATTTCTAGGCATAGTAGAAAAGAGGTTTCTAGACCAGCGGGCAGCTCAAGGTATACATTATCAAGGTCTGCATTATCAAGATTTGAAGATGAACCAGAACTGGAAAAGGAGCCAAAAGACACCAACATTTCTGTTGGACGGAGTAAAAAAAAGGATTGCAGAGAGCATTGCAGATCAGATGATAAATTTAAAAGCACATCTCACCTTTTACAGGTTGAAGGAGAACAAAAATATAAGCAAGAGTCCACCAAACAGCAGAGTCAAACTGATGATGAAAATGCCTGTGCCAGTCTATCTAAAAAGGAGTATGGGAGACCAGGAAACCAGCTGAGAAGTGTGTCTGAAGTGTCCAAGTATGAAGGTGAAGAACTGTTCAAGCAAGGTTGCAGCAGTGAGAAAACTATGACAAAATACAACAGTACCTTCACAAAGCAGAAAACTGCGCCAAAAGAAAAATATGTTTGCCTCAGTTCATCTGATGCACATTGTGTTACTGCTGCAAAGGAGTTTGTGAATTTCCAGAGGACAGTTATTGTAGAATCTTCTCCAAAACCTGTGTTTGTGGATGACCACAGTTCAGAAGTAAATGAGAAGGTGAGGCATTCTGTTGTGGAATAAGGTTTTCAAAATGAAACCGTAGCTAAATGTTCCTGAAATGTAATTGATTTCACACAAATGAAGAGCCAGCACTTAAAAGTAAACACATTCTGAAAAGTTTGAGAAATCCTTAAGATAGCTTCAAGGATTCACTCTTAAGCTAGTAGGAAAAGAATGTAGTTTAAGGAAACTTAAACTAAACTTAAATTTAAATTACTAAAAGGTGCTATTTAAACACAGAATCCTTCCAAATGGTTGTAGAAATGTTTAGTAGCAGTTTTCAGAGGTGCAGGATGTAGGACAAAATAGTAGTTACAAATACAACCTTTGTTGTTTGTATGATTCAGGATTAAGAGATAGTTTTCTGAATTCCATTAACTTAGAAGTTGCCATGTAGCGGTGTACAAAACGGATTTCATCCTTTTTATGGTGTCATGTGGCCTTTTTCTGGATGACACTCATAATAATAAATTGTGTCCCATATAGCATTGCTGATCAATACAGAAGTTTTAAGTGATCCTCAAATTTTACTTACCTTTTGTGGTCGACTACCAAATATCCGAAATAAAGTGGTGTTTGCTCTCTGTGAATAACAAACTGCAAGACTAACATGCTTTTATTTCAATGTGCATTTTCTACCAGTTGTCTGAATGGCATGTTACAATTCTTAAGCATTTTTCACATAGTGTTGCCTTAAATTATACAAAAAATCCCTCATATCTTCCTTTACTTTTGTTATAAACCAGTATAGGCATGGCAGGCCTAACAGAGATTAGCTGGAGAGCCATGTCTATTTTTCTTTTAAAAACAAAATCTGCATACCTCTTGTATTTTTGTCGTCTTCCCCTGTGACCTGGTCATCTTCCCTTGCATATAACTTAAACTAATCAGATGCAAGATAACCAAGCTGAATTGATTTTTTCATTTTATTTCATGATTTGCAGTTAATGGGGAAAGAAAGAGAGTCCTCGGCTGAAAGTGATTGGTCTGACATGGAGGATGCAGAACCACCTAGTACTTTCTCCCAGGAGGATTCTATCCCAAACCACAGTACGCCAAAAACAGTGGAGACTTCACAGTTGGCAACAGAGTTGGTGATGTATCCTCCTCATTTGTACAATCGCAGAATGAGTGACTATACAAAGTACTGGACAAGCTGCAGCAAGCCAGCGGATTGTTCTTCTTTTTCATGTTCTTCTGAAGATACCTCATATGCCACCCATCTTTGTGATGTTTCATTAGATACCTCATATGATAGCCCATCAACTACACCAAGGGATAAAGAACCTTGTATGCGTGTCAGGCCCCGGTCGCTTGGTTCTCACCCGGTCGATGAAGAGAAAAACAGACGACAGAGTAAAGAAGTAGCATCAGGTGTTCCTATTTTCTCCACATCTCGCAAGTCAGAGTCTTTTGTCAATCAGTGTGTAAACCAGGATTTGCCTGATGACCTGCCTAAATATTTAAAAGAAGGGTTTATTGATACCCACTGTCATCTGGATATGTTATATACAAAGACAGCTTTCAGGGGCACTTTTTCTAAGTTTCGAAAGACTTACAGTAGCAGCTTTCCTGAAGAATTTCAGGGATGTATAGCTGACTTTTGTGATCCTCGTACATTGAGCAACTACTTATGGGAAGATTTATTAAAGGAAGACATGGTTTGGGGGGCATTTGGCTGTCATCCTCACTTTGCACGTTATTACACAGACCTTCATGAAAGAAGTATCTTACAGGCAATGAGGCACCCCAAAGCTATTGCCTTTGGAGAAATGGGGCTGGATTACTCTTACAAATGTAGCACTGAGGTCCCAACGCAACATAAGGTAAAGGAGAGTGCTGTTACTTTTTGTGCTCAGTGTCTCTTAAGATTTGTGAAGAAACAAGTCATTCACTTTGTAAGATGTCATTGGTCTGTAAAGTTGTGAAGCAGTTGTTCAAAAAACCCACTAAGTTGAGATGATAGTAGCTTTCTTTTGGAAAAAAACACCTTTCCAGTCCATTGCTCGGAGTATGTTGCAATCCACAGAATAAGAGGATTGGTTGCTAAATAATTTTTGTAGTGCTGGTTAAATGTATTAATGTGCAGTGTTGACCTAGAACACAGGGGTGATACGTAGCTCAAATATTTCTAAGCATTTCTGTTATCTAATCACTCGCAATAGGCTTTGGTTTGAATACATTAGCAAAAGAGACATATCCCATATTTTGGAATTTCAGCAGCATGTGATTTCTACATCCAAAAGTAGTGTTGCAGTGGTGCATGGTAGCAAACAACCTACTAGCAGAAATGTTTGGTCAAAAGCTCAGGTAAGTGGTCAGAGCAGGAAGAATGAAAGAAAAATGCATCATCATGTGTAATATTAGTTGGCTGCAAAAGAACAATTCTCAACAAAATGTGTTCAAAAAACTTGCTGTAGACACAGAACTATATTGAATGGCCTGGATCCAGAGTTACTGGTTTCCCCCCTTGCAACCCCCTAGGGCTCTTTTGAAGAGTCCCTAAGTTTTCTTGAGCAGGTGTTCAGTGGCTAGGGAGCTGCAGGAAGGAAGAGGAACTGGTAAAAATTGCCTTCATTTCCTACAGCAGCTGTTGCATGAGTGGAAATCTATTAAACATGTCAGTATCTACAGTTTGATCTGTTTATCCAATGTTAAATTATTCATATTACTTTCAGTTTTGTATGGGGTGTTTCCTAATTGCATCAGCATTATGTACAATACTGACACTGAAGCTCAGCCAGTCTACTCCTTTAATGCCTTTTAAAATGAAATAAATGAAAATGTGCTCCTGGACAGATTTCTCTCTCTTATGTCCCCGCCCCCCCACTCCCTAACAAAATGGACTGTGTTGATAAAAGTAGTAAGATTATAAATGGTAGTGGTGGAGTGAGGTACTAGATTGTTTTCTGCACATCTTACAGTTTTGTTCTCGGGGCAGTTCTAATAGCATTTGAAGATATACTCCTTTCTTGCTTGCTTCAGGTATTTGAAAGGCAACTGAATCTTGCTGTTTCCTTAAGGAAACCATTGGTAATTCACTGCAGAGATGCTGATGATGACTTGTTGGAAATCATGAAAAAATGCGTACCCAAAGACTACAAGATACACAGGTAATTGTATTAAATAATTTTAAGTCTACCCATCCTTGACTTTAAAAAGAAGCTGAAGGCCAGAGGTCCTAAAATTCTGCATGGCTGTGATTCCCTGGTTATGACATACAAAGACCTATAGGGCTTAGGTACAAGTTATCTGAAAGAATGTACAGTGGTACCTCGGGTTACATACGCTTCAGGTTACACTCAGCTAACCTAGAAATAGTATCTCGGATTAAGAATTTTGCTTCAGGATGAGAACAGAAATCATGCTCCGGCGGCGCAGCAGCAGCAGGAGGCCCCATTAGCTAAAGTGGTGCTTCAGGTTAAGAACAGTTTCAGGTTAAGAACGGACCTCCAGAATGAATTAAGTACTTAACCCAAGGTACCACTGTATTCCCTCACAGAAGCCTGCCTGGGTTCTGAGATCCTTGGGGGAGGCCTTTCTCCTGGTCCTGCCACCCTCAGGCATGCTTAGTGGGGATGCAGGAGAGGGCCTTCTCGGTGGCTGCTCCCAGACTTTGGAATTTCCACCCTAAAGTTAGGCTGGCTCCCTCATTGTCTTTCCACTGGCAAGTGAATACTTTCTTGTTCGAACATGCTTTGGGGAACTGGCTGCTTTTAATTTGGGGGCTGGTGCCATGCAATTTGGGTTGTGATTGTATGTTTTTAGTACACATCTCAAAAAGATATGTGTTGTGTGTTTAATTGTTTTTTAATTATTGTTCCCACCCACCCCAGCATTTTTAGCTGTTCTTATATTTTATCTGTAAGCTGCCATAATTTCCTGTCAGAGAAAAAGGCGGTGTATACATAAATAAAATCTCCCTTTCTATTTAAAAAAGTTGCCATTTAATTTTTCAGACCAGCATTCTAAAATCATAAGTGAAAATTAAGACATAACTTGAATGCTTCGAAGGTCTCTGTTTCATTGAAATTAGATTCTGTAATTCCTTGAATATAGTATTAAAATTATAATATGCAGCTTCCGCAACCAATTTTAACTGAAGCGTGGCTTTTATTCCAAGAAGAAATTAACAACATAGCAGCCATCATTCTGTGTCCAGCCTGCTGTGTGGTCTTTGGCATGGCCAGCATTACTGTTTTCCTGTTGCTGGTTGGCCATCGTATGTTGCAGAATGACCATTGTTTTCTCTCTATCTTAGGCATTGCTTTACTGGCAGATACAGTGCCATAGAACCATTGTTGGACTACTTTCCAAATCTTACTGTTGGATTCACAGCACTGCTGACATATCCATCTGCTACAGAGGCTAGAGAGTCAGTTCAGAAAATCCCTTTAAGTAGAATAGTTGTAGAAACAGATGCGCCATATTTCCTTCCTAGGCAGGTAAGGTATTTTGTTTTATTTGGGGTTGTTTGCAATGCTTTGTCCCTTTATTGTGTGCTGATTGATACTTCATTAAAATAATGTCCTTTCTTGTTTTAGGGTGTAGTATGAAAGAAAATGTTAATGGTTTAGGGTGAAGCAGGCCCTTCATATAGCGCAATGCAGTGGGGGGTTTTATCACTCCTTCCTCTTGAAAGTCATGGCTCAGGAAGAGAGGGGGAAATATCAAAAGTCAATCACTGCCCACACAGGTGGGGTCCTCAGGAAAGGTTTGGGGTCTTGGACCATGGTCTCCACTTCCTCAAGGAAGGACTTCTGGCAAGAGATAGGCTGCACCTCACAATTGTTGGCAAGAATGTGATTGGTAAGAATCTCACAAACCTGATCAGAAGAGCTTAAAGTAAATCCTGCGGGGCAGGGAGACAATATTACAGATGACAGGGAAACACCTGGTACTGGGGATAGTAGCTTCATAGATGCGCAGGAAACTGAGGCGGTGCTACAGAAACCTGTTAATGGGCAGGAAACTACAAGAAAGAAGCAGCTGCAGGAGATCTGGACTTTAAGAAGGCTGATTTTAAAAAGCTAAAAGAGCTACTGAGGGATAGCTCAGTTGGTAGAGCATGAGACTCTTAATCTCAGGATCATGGATTTGAGCCCCATGTCGGGCAAAATATTCCTGCACAGCAGGGAGTTGAACTGGATGATCCTTGTGGTCTCAACTTTACCATTCTATGATTCTGTTGGGTGAGATCCCATGGTCAGAAATACTCAAAGATAAGGGAGTCAAAGATGGATGGGAGTTTGTTAAATGTGAAATATTGAAGGCACAAGTGCAGGCAATAACCTTGTCTCCTAAAACTCTGCTTCTGCTTTTTCCAGGTTCCCAAAACTGTATGCCAGTATTCACATCCAGGAGTAGCTCTGCACACCGTTAAAGAGATTGCTCGGCTCAAAGAAGTGTCATTGCCTGCCATGTTAGGCATTCTAAGACAAAACACAAAAAGAATATATGACTTGTAGGGAAGCACAAGGGAGTGTGGAAAAGAGTTGATGAGGAAATACTTTTTATGTAAATATAAATTTGGAACTTGCACATTAATGTTGACCAGCTTGGATATTGTGACTTCTGGAAACAAGGAAAATATTAATAAGTGCTTAATTGAACCACAGTCCTTTAAAATTCACACCTTTTCCTGCTGCTTCCCCTCCCCTCTGCTATTTGTTCCCTTCCTTTTAAGGTGCCTTAGTGTTGATTTTATTCATAAGAGTGGCTTTCTTTAATTTTAAATTATCTTGGGCAGCCAAAAAATTGTCAGCATATTGATTTTTTAAATTTTTATTTGCTTTTTTTTAATGTATCTGAAGGAGATTATAACTGAGCATTTTTAGAAGGCCAGTTTCCAATAGAAAGGAGAAGGCCAGGTATGCCTTAGTACAGGGTGCTCTTCAAACGTTGGACTCCAACTTCCATTAACTCCAGCCCCACCATGGCCAGTGACCAGGAATGATGGGCAGTGGACCCTGATGGCTACCCCTGGTAAGGCGAGGCTTAGCCTTAAAAAAGAAAGTGCTCCTAAATAGTCTTTGCCTTGTCTGATTATTTCTCTTGGAGCAGCAGTCCATGTAACTGCAATACCATATATTCTTAGTTAAAAACCTTCTATTTGGTATAGCATGAATATACTCAAAGAAGTAATGACATACATTACCAGTATATGATAGTAATCCCCCCCCTCCCATATGCATTAGCACAAAGGATCATCTCTAAGGATGTCTATATGGCAAGAACTTTAAACTGAACTGAATTTGCATAATAACTCAGAGATACTGAAAGGGCTGTGAAATACTCTCTAGATCTAACCTCTAATCTAGTGTCATCTGCATGTTGTTGGACCACCACTCCCATGTTGGCTGGGACTGATGGGAGCTGGAGTCTCAACAGCATCGGGAGAGCCTTAGGCTGAGGAAGGCTACTCTAGATACACTGTGTTCTCCAGAAACCGAAGCACACACAAAGTAATTAAAGCAGGGGAGTGAAATAGGCTCTCAATATTATTTTGTGGGAAACCATGATTTGTTTTTGTTTTAATTAGGCAGTTTTAACCTCTGCAGTGGGTTCCTTTTTAATAAAGAAAAATGATTCCATGTTTCTATATTGTTCTATTATGTATTATTTGGACTTTAAAAAGATTACTTGTAAATAAACATATTTTTATATAAATATTCATACATGTTGTATCCATGACTCTTGGGCAAGAAATTAAAGTATTGCAACCAATAACATGGAAAGCAAACATTGTTGTTCTGTGCCCTTCCTTTACCTTCAGTTCAGCAGTGTCTTCATGTTATATGGAAAGGTCCTTCTGTATATACTTCTATTTGTTTTATTAAAGTGTTTCCTAATGTTTGTGAAAACAGCATTCTAAGTAACTTTTTCCTTCTGCACATGTGTGTGAGGTGTGTGTGTGTGTGTGTGTGTGTGTGTGTGTATGTATGTATGTTTATATGCAGGAATAACAATAAAACCATGCTCTCCCTTTCCAGTCATAAGACAGTTCTCACTTTTCCATCTTTAAAACACCATCACCAGCTGTTTGACATCCTGAAACCCTCAGGTCCCGATTTGGCTTACTATAAACACATGAATGATTTTGCTCTATGGTTGGAGGCACTAAGCTTCTGAAAATCAGTTGTTGGAGACCACAGGAGAAGAGAGTATTCTTGTGATAAGGCTCCGCTTGTGGGTTTTCCACAGGCATCTGGTTGGCTACTGTGAACAGGATGAAGGACTAGATGGGCCACTGGCCTGATCCAGCAGGCTCTTATGTCCTGGTGAAGAGGAACTTGACAAACTTTGCTCCTCCCTAGGCTTTTTAGGGCAGTGCAGAATGCTAGCAGTGTGGTGTTCTAACCCAGAAATATAGTTATATAGTCTCTCCTCCTTAATCACAATCTGTAGGGTCAGGGTTAACCATAGGACAAACCTCGACTACAAGACATTGTTAAGGAGGAAAGACCATAACTATCAACCCAGGTTTGGACAGCATGTTAAGCCAAACTGGCTTCGCTACCATGCTGTACTGACCTAAAAAGCCCAGGCTGCAATCTTCTTAGGAGGTAGCATGTCTGCATGGGACATAGTATAATTTAGCATGATATGCTAATGTGGCTCAATTGCCTTGAAGTAGAATTTAGGAGTCCCTTGACCTGCTTTTTTAAAATGCATGCAACATAGCAAAAAAATATCATTTGCAGAGTTATGCCTGCGATCCAGATCATAGCTAATTAACAGGAAGCCTCATTCTTTTTTGTGGTAGCAGTTGTATTCCCTAGTGTCAACACAGTTCTTCCTTTGATGAAAGAATGTGTTACTTGCTTCGCTGTTATATAGTTCCTTAAGTTTAATTCCACACTGTTTTAGAAACTGATAAATAAGCACGAGCTCAGATATTATTTTCTCCTGCAACAAATGCATGAGGCAATCAATGGTATCCAGCTAAATTCATTCTAGTCTCCCAGCTCTTTCCCCTGATTACAATCTTTCCGCTAACCCTCTTATTGGCATATTTTATTTTATTTCTTTACAAAGCTTTGTAGCTTTGCCAACACAGAATCTTCCAATAAGTTGCCAGATACGCTTTTAACATTCTGTAATAAGGGCATTTATTAGGTATGTCAGATAGCATAAAGTAAGATTTGAAGCAGTTGAATTCAAAGCATGAAACTCGTTTTAATGTAAAGTTGTTATGTTAACTCCAGCATCTTGATTTTCAGCTGCTTTTTCACTGTGTTTCTTGGTTTTCTGAAAGGTCAACAGGGCAGTAGTTAATATAAAAAGCTATGTTAATGTAAAATGATTTTCAAGGCTCTACCTGTTAAAAGAGCAAATAATATATGAATGAAGGTAGACATGAGAAGCTATATATATATATTGTCCCCATACATAAAGTGTTAACTCCATGGGATCAATAGCAGTAAAGCGGGTAGAGAACGCTTCAGCAAAAAAAATATATATATATTCTGAAATCTGTTCTTAGTTATGGGGGTTTCCCCAACCCACTGGGGCAGATATAGACAAGCACATATGAAGTCTTGTTGCATCAGGAGAAGTTCTTGCATTAATGGGTGACTTCATTGATAGAACACTTTGTCTTTTAGCAGGAGTGCTACCCTACAGGGATGCCAACAGGATTTCCTGAGCCTTAAGCTTTGTTTAGATTGGGTCCCCTATACCACCACCACTTCCAATCTGGAACATAAAAATAGGTTTGTTTTCCATTGTGATGGATAACAGCTGGAGTTCATTTTGCCACAAAGATTACAAGTCCCATACATTCAAAAATATGATTAAATCATGACATGGGTTTGAAAATGCACAAGATTTACAAATGAAAAACATGGTGCCCTTCTAGTTATTATTAATGCATAATCCTAAAATATTTGTGTGTACAGTCCTATCTAAGCATATTTACTTGGAATCACTTGTTTAAGAGGAATATTCTCTAGTAACTATTTAGGATTGTTGGTGTGCAACCAGATCCTAAGCATAATTTACTCAAGCAAGTTCTGTTTGTTCCCATGTAGATGTGCATTTGTGTGCAGCCTTAATTTCTGATGACTTGGGCTAGAAACAGAGCTGAGGTATTTATCAAGCAGATTGAAAGGAACCTACAGCTTGTACAAAAGCAGGGAATGCATTGAGTTGCCTTTGCAGCTGATTTCATTGTTTTATCACTGCATGGACTGATGTAGTTAGGGGAGGATATTCAAAATGTGTTATATGGGGTATATTATTATTATTATTATTATTATTATTATTATTATTAAAGTTGATCTCCAAATACCTTGTGGATTGAATTTGGGTAAAAACCCTGGTTCCTCGAATGAGGAAATGTTACCTTTATTGTCTTCAACAAGTATGTCTTCCAGAAGCTTCTCCAGTATTGGGCCATAGTCTTTGTACTGATCATCTGAGATTTTCATGCCAATTTCAAAGGGAACAGTGAACTAAGGAAAGTTGCAGGACGTTAAGGTTAGACTTTGTTACTACTATTTATTATTACCATATACCCACACAACTCAGGGCGGTTCACAACATAAAAACAATATAAAACCATCCCAGACTATGACACTTTGTAGGCAATATTTATAGAACTAAATACCTGTTTTCTATAAGTAAAGGTAAAGGGACCCCTGACCATTAGGTCCAGTCGTGGCTGACTCTGGGGTTGCGGCGCTCATCTCGTTTTAGTGGCCGAGGGAGCCGGCGTACAGCTTCCGGGTCATGTGGCCAGCATGACTAAACTGCTTCTGGTGAACTAGAGCAGCACACGAAAACGCCGTTTACTTTCCCACCGGAGTGGTACCTATTTATCTACTTGCACTTTGAAGTGCTTTCGAACTGCTAAGTTGGCAGAAGCAGGGACCGAGCAACGGGAGCTCACCCCGTCGCGGAGATTCGAACAGCCGACTTTCTGATCGGCAAGCCCTAGGCTCTGTGGTTTAACCCACAGCACCACCTGCGTCCCTTCCTGTTTTCTATATCCACTATTAAAGCCTAAAATAGCCAAAGAACTAGTTGGCCTCAGAAAACCAGGCAAGAGCATTCATATCCAAATTACAAAGTGCTCACCAGCTAGCTTGGTCATTAACCATTTTTCAGAATCTGTGTACAAATGATTTCCATGAAGGACTGGCCCAAAACATTTTGCTGCCTGAGGCAGGGGACAAGATTAAAAGATGACTGGACTGACAACTGAATCCTATTTCAACACTAATGAAGGGATAACATCCTTCACTGAACCTCTGTCTTTCAACAGAAAGGAAAAGGTTCAGGGGTTATGAAGAACAGCCATGGGAGTGCTGCCTGTGGCAGTTGCCTCACTTTGCCTAATGGGAGGACTGGACCTACTTCTAGAAGAAAGGGCCTAGATTCCATTATTTATATTTTGTTACATTTGGAGCTTTGTGGCCAATATGGAAGGGTTAAGAACTGTGTGGGAAGCTGCCACATAAGAGCTTCCATTTCAGAAACCAGTCTGAAAGAATTTTTAAGGACAACCTCATCTGCAGGGCACAAGTCATTTCTGCAGACATGGCGCCTTACTCCTGCATGACTTTGTTGTGTTCCTGGTGCAAGAGAGACTGGAAATCCCTATTTTACCTGTGGTGGCCCTGCAATACTGTCACAACATTCTGGGAACAGGCATTTGCCACTATCCTGGACATTGTATGACAAGACTGTATAGACAGACCAGACCCTGCTCTATTTCGTCAGTATATACAGAGAGCCACAGAAATAGTTTATCCATGCCACAAGGACATTATTTTGTTTCAGACACAGCAAGAATGCAAAGTAGCCAATTATCAGCAAAGCTTATCCAACTCTTCTGTTCGTACCTTCTTCTCTCAAGGTTATTGGAAAACCTAAATACTAAATTAGGTGGTAAAGAATGCCCTGTTTTCATACACAGAGAGTAGTTTCTGGGTCCTGTCCTTCATTATCTCATTCTTGTTGCAAGTAAGAATCCTGTTCAGTGGCTAGATACTAAATACTAAAAAGACTTCAGTTACAACCCCTAGCTGCCTTGTAAGCAAATGAAAAATAAAAGTTTTAAAAGTGAGTAGAAAGAGGCAAGAGATCCGTGACCCAACATAAAAGATTCAAGGTTCGGGCCCTTTGGGTTACCCATACTGTAATCATATCCCTGTGCATGAGGTTATCTGTATATGCACTGATTTCTGGCTGGAGTATGATTTTGGGCAGTGGCTATTTGTACATGAAAATGCTAAATACTATGTATTAAATTGGGCAGGGGTACCTTTACCTTTACCTTTATGTATTAAATTATGGGGGTTCCCCCCTTTTGTTAATATACTATGTACATCAGTAAAATGTTTTGGGAGGAGGGGAAATATTTTACTCTTAATTTGGGTGGTACAAGTTGATTTGGGGCAGCAAGGGTGGGAAGTAGCAGACCCTCCATGTCCCTATTTTCCAGGGACCATCCCAGTATCTGATTTGACCTCACTTTTCCTTAGGATGTCCCTATTTTCATTGGAGAAATGTTGGAGGGTATGGAGTTATCTGACCCCCAAGCTATTTGAGGGCAATCCTGTACAGGGAAGGTTTTTTATGTTTAATGTTTTATTATGTTTTTATATATGTTGGAAGCTACTCAGAGTGGCTGGGGCAACCCAGTAAGATGTGTGGAGGATAAATAGTAAAATTACCATTATGAATGGGACACCCCTATTTTTATTGGAGAAATGTTGGAGGGTATGGAGTAGTTACCTTTATTTCTATTTCATTGCTGTCTCTCTCAGTCTCACTTCCATGAACATCCAAAAATGTTTCTGCATCTCGGCGATGGAACTTTGTTGAAGGTTTTGGGGACACTTTTCGCTGTTAAAAACAAATCACATGCAAACCCAATAGGCAAATGATTAACTGTCCAGGATGAAACACCTTTTGATAAAGTATCAGTGTGGGGACGTAACAATGTGTTCAGCATTTACCTGAGTTTTTGGTTGTTCGGGACTTAAAAAACTGGAACCGGCTGTGGTGGTCTCCGTCCAGAGAGAACAGATAAGAAGCATTCCTACCACCATGTTTCTGATAAACATGGTTGTCTTTAAAAGATGTCTGTGATTCAAGCTGTATCGACCTGCAACACAAAGAAAACTGGTGCATTCTAAAATAAACTATTTGTTTTAAACTCAATAGGCGAATCACATGAACTGCTAAAGTTTTAATTAGTCCATCATTTAATAAAATTTGGCACATAGAGCCAGGATCCCCATACATTAATGAACTTGGTATATAATGTTTTAAACAATGTAAAACAATGCTAAGGAAGAGGTAGAAAAATGTCTTACCCAATACTTCCTGCACGTATGAATTACCGTAATGGAGAGCAGTGTTGAAAGCCTTTAAATAGTCATCAGTAATGTTTGCTTTGTGTACATAATACCTTTCAGTCCAGGTAGTATTAGGCATTCCTTGGAAACACATTTCAATTAAGTTAAACAGTAAACGTAAGGAAATGCGTATGATGCATTAGCTTCAAGAAACTAATGTTTTTGGGAAAAAATCTGTTTGATTTGTCTAAGAATTTTTATATTGCAAGGGTAAAATAATAAGATACAGCTGGCACAAATACACACACGCACATGCATATATACACATACACATACACACACAGTGCTTTTTTCTGGGGGGATGCATACCCCTAAACATTTTGTGAATCCCAATTTGAACTATAAAATCACTATAGTGATTTTCTTGAGTCAAAATGAGAGTACCGTGGTACCTCAGCTTAAAAACTTAATTCGTTCCAGAGGTCCGTTCTTAATCTGAAACTGTTCTTGACCGGAAGCACCACTTTAGCTAATGGGGCCTCCTGCTGCCACCGCGTCGCCGGAGCATGATTTCTGTTCTCATCCTGAAGCAAAGTTCTTAACCCGAGGTACTATTTCTGGGTTAGCGGAGTCTGTAACCTGAAGCGTCTGTAACCTGAAACGTCTGTAACCCAAGGTACCACTGTACCCCTAAACAATTTTAAAGAAAAAAAGCAGTGTGTGTGTGTGTGTGTGTGTGTGTGAGAGAGAGAGAGAGAGAGAGAGGGTTCCAAGTTTGAGACAAGTACTATTCTTTGGTCAGAGAATCCCAGTGCAGATTTTAAAGCCACGAAACAAAACGTGGAAATATAGGCAGTTAGACCTTTAAAATATGCCCCTCTGAGTTCCAAAATGTCCCCTCACAAATAAGTCTCCCTCTCACCCCAGCATAGGAAAAGACCACACATTTGGCAAGTTTAAAAATGGTTTGCTTACAAACTATCCAAAGATCAGATTCAGAAAAGTTTCACAGGCAATAAAACTCGCTTGGTTGCAAAGTGGTAAAAGTTCCTAAATGATTGATATAAGAACACCAGAATGGCTGGTGAGAGCCATGCAGTTGAGCTGCAGCAACCTGCTCAAACCTCTTCACATGCTGAGCTTCTCAGGTAGACTGGGGAGATACAATAGACTTGATTACCTATTTCCTCCCAAGGTAAGAGAAGTGATATAGCTAAGCCTGGCATGACAGCTTACTCTGGTATTAACCTTTAAATGCATTAATTAGATTTTTAGCAGGTGAGTTATATGAGACTCGTTACCCCACAGATACCCTCATAAATAGAAAGTTCCACACAGAAATACAATGCAAATTAATTCCTCACTCTTGTGCTCCCAATGCCCTTCTTCCTGAACCTGCAGCACTGGTTGATGGCTTCCGAAAATCCAGTTTTGGGGAAATATGCTAGAGATCCTCTGAGATCATTATCTGTTGAGCCAGAGCAAGCCTTAGTCTGGTTCCTTCTCATTTCTCCCTGCCTCCCCTTCCTGCTGCTCCTTTTGTGCATTGCTCTTCAACAGGTGGACCAGGACCCACTTCACAATGGGACCCAAGGTTGTTCACAACAGTTAGCAGCACTAACACTATACAAATATATGGTCTGATTAAGAATTGGGTTCCCAAATGCAAAGTTTGGGTTGAAGGTGGATCTCAAGTCTGAAAAAGTTGGAGACTACTTCACTAGAGCGGTGGGTGGGATGGCAAGGGACTGTTGATCTAGCGGCAATCAGAATAATTATAATTATCATGGTGTGTAGGAGTGTAGTGTACACTTTTTTCCTGCTGGTTCTTACCTCCCAAATCTTAAATGGTATGAGGCAAGGATATTTGAAAGCACCACCTCTTCCCATAGAATCCTGCCTGTCCATTAGGGCCTTGCTCTGCATCCAATCTCAGCTACAGCTGCATGCGCCATGAGACTGGCATCACATCCACACCATGCATCTAAAGTACAGTACTATTTATACCACTTTAAGGCACAACTTGCCTCAAAGAATCCTGGGAACTGTAGTTTGTTAACAAAGGCCTTAACAAACTACAGTTCCCAGGGTTATTTTGGAGAAGCCGTGACTTTTCTGTTGCTGCAACAAATTCTCTCCCTAGAGAAGTTCATTTGGGCCTTTTAAGCCTTTGACATGCTGTTACGACTTTCAAAAAAATCACCTAGCTTTTAGTTTTAAGATTTCCCCTCTTTCTCCTTGCAAATGATGCTGGTTTTATTTTGTTGCCATTTTTTAGTTGCGGTACTTTTGTGAACTGCTTTGAAGGGAGGAATATCTACAACATATTTAGCTATATGACAAAAATATAAATAATTTTTTTAGCTACAGAACATGTTTTTTTGGTTCTGTGGTAAACTTAAAATTCTACATATTCCTCTTTCGTTTCCCTGTTTGTGTGATAGTTTCAATATGGTTAAATTGATCCAAACTACTCGAAAAGCACTTACTGGCTTTTCCCAGTTACTTCTTATAGTTTGGCTGTGATCCTAAGCTTACTTGTTGGAAGTAAATTCTTTTGAACTGAAGGATAAGTAGGATTGCAAATCATGCTACCAACAGAAGGCAATAAATCATTTTCCATGCAGCAGAACGCTCTGGTAAAGACCCTTAATGTACCCAATATATTACCTAGCAAAGTGCCTAATATGTTCCACAGCACCATAGGTGGTTTTTAAAAAATTGAATATTGGGATACAACCACAACAGTGGCAAATATGCCTCCCTCTTTAGGGAGGGAAGTTTGTACTTTTCCCAGCATGGTAGATTTCTCCATTCCATTTTTCACACCTTTAAAAAAACAACAGAGACATATGGCTTGGGTGATGAGATTCTGAGCTAGTGATGGAAACTGTAGACAGAAAGGTAACAAGTAAACCTGACCTTTTGTGAAGGTTTTGCTATTAAAACAAAGCATTCGCTTTGGGCTGGGTTTCAGGGGCAAGAGGGCAACATTTATCAGCTGAAAGCATCTCTCTTTGCTATGGCACTGACATAATAGCTTGATCTATAAGTGTTCTCGGAAATACTGGCCTTAATATTTATCCCCCCAGTGAAACAGAATGTTACAGTTGTTAAGTGTTTAAGCCAACATCTATAAAGGGAGAAAACTACTCAAATCTGAGATACGTACAACTAATGCTTATAGCAAATTTAGCAGCGGCTTTGACATTCCCTTTTCGGAGGCCCCCACTGAGCCAGCTCTCTGGTGATCTTCCACCAGCCAGTGAAGGTCATCTGAATTTAGAGAGGCCAGTCTGCTACGGTGGTTTATTTTGCTGTTGCTGATCTTATCTGCTCTTGCTTTTATTGTTGGCTTTGTAGCTTGATTTGCTTTTATATTGTTTTAATATAATTGTAGCCAGCTTGGGTACGTAGGGCATTATGAGGGATATAAAGTGGTTAAAACACATCACATACAGTATATCAAAATCCTTACAGGAGCCTGTTCAGCCCAACAGTGCAGTTGCTCATGTCTGCAATCCTATGCTCACTTTATTGGAAGCCCCACTGAACATAAGGGGTCTTACCTTTGTGTGCACATGCATAGGATTGCATGTGTGTTCACAGCAGAGGGGAGATTTGAACAAGGCACTTCTCTGCTCACAACTCAAGCAATTTATATACTGCTCAATTACTATCTTCTCTAGGTGGTATACAGATAACACACAATAAGGATAAAAATCAGTGAAAACTATTAACATCAGAATTCAGTTAAAGTGCCTGCTGGAATAAAAGGCTTCAGTAGGCATTAGATGTTCAAAAAGGGAAGGGGCCTATTTGTCACAGCTGGAATGGAGTTCCATAAAAGTAGACCCACATGAATGCACAGCTGCTGGTAGATATAAGCCAGGCTTCCTCAACCTCAGCCCTCCAGATGTTTTTGGCCTACAACACCCATAATCCCTAGCTAGCAGGACCAGTGGTGTAGTCTCAAAATGGGAATTGTAGTCTCAAAACATCTGGAGGGCTGAGGTTGAGGAAGCCTGATATAAGCCATGGGTAGGCAGACTAAGGCCCGGCGGCCGGATCCGGCCCAATTGCCTTCTAAATCCAGCCCGTGGACGGTCCAGGAATCAGCGTGTTTTTACATGAGTAGAATGTGTCCTTTTATTTAAAATGCATCTCTGGGTTATTTGTGGGGCCTGCTTGGTGTTTTCACATGAGTAAAATGTGTGTTTTTATTTAAAATGCATCTCTGGGTTATTTGTGGGGCATAGGAATTTGTTCTTTTTTTCCCTTCTTCAAAATATAGTCCGGCCCCCCACAAGGTCTGAGGGACAGTGGACTGGCCCCCTGCCGAAAAAGTTTGCTGACCCCTGATATAAGCCATGCATCCTTGCCATGGGGGACCACTAACAGCGACTCCCCTGAAGTCCTCAGTGATCAGACAGGGCTATAATGAATCAGACAGACCTTGAGGTATCCTGCACCCAAGTTGTCAAGGGCCTTGTAAATTAACACAAGAGCCCTGAACCTGGCCTGGTATGCAGCCAGTGCAAGCTTTTGAGTGCCTGAGTTATGTGCTGGTGATATTGCCTGTCCCCATCAGCAATCTATCCATAGCTTTTTGCACCAGGTAGAGCCTCCATACTACCGTACTTTTCCATCTATAAGACACCCCCAGGTATAAGACGCCCCCTATTTTGGGGGACTCAAATTTAAGAAAATGGGGGAGATGGCACACAGTTGTTGAGCTTTTTTTGGGGGGGGATTGCTAAAAATCGCTCACCCGCACACATCTCAAAATCCACCTCCTGTCTGTCCCATCACCAGTAGAAGCTGTCAATCGCCCACCCAACTGCCGGAGCGTTGGCCAATCAACACCACCCATTGACGCTGCAGCTAGTAACACACACAACACCTGCTGACAGCCGCGGCAGCAACCAAACAAACGTCCACCCTATGCACTACCCATGTATAAGATGACCCCCACTTTTTAGCATGATTTTTAAGGGGGGGAAAACCATAGTCTTATATACAGAAATGTACGGGTAGTTCAACCCTGTGCTGACACAGGAAATTCACTCCTACAACTAACAGGAAGAAACTCACCCCGTGTTTAAATTTGTTGCTTCAGGTCCTACCCTCTGGAGCATCAGAAAAAAATGGCTCCAACATCTGTATGATAGTCATCATATCACATCTGAATAATCTCTTCTATGGTGAAAAGTTGGAGGAGTTGCTCTCAACTCCTCACCTTCATTTGGCTTCCTTCTCTGTACACATTCCAGATTGTTGATACCCTTCTAAAACTCCAGACACATTACTGCACATGATATCTGACCGAAGCAGAATAGGAGACTGAAAAGAACTAGCCTGCTTGAAAGACAATAGACTTAAGAAATGATTGTTGTCCTCATATCTGGCTCTTAATACTTTTGACTTGGTCAGATTTTACTGCTGCCCCATTTCCTTCCCTTTCACACAAGCAGATTTTGCTCTTCTTAAGCTCTTGCTGTTTTCACTCTACTTGTTTATGAAGTAACCTTTGGACAAAAGGAAAAGCAAGCTTTGGACCAATAACTTGATGATACATATTTACAGGGGGAGAAAATATATAAAATAACCTCTGTAAAAAAGTAGCCTTCTTTCCAAACAGTTGAGATTGTTTTGATCAGACTTTATTTTTTCTTTTAAACAAAAAGAGGTACACAAAGTGGCTTAGGGTTTATTAGCTTGATAATATTTTGGAGGTCAATTTCACAAGTACTTGCAACTAATAGAAGGGCAAACTGTAGAACAAAAGCAACTTTGAATTTCTGGTAATCCTTCTCCATGTTTAAATGGCAGTCTCCATCTCTCTTGCTTAAGTTCAAATTCTGTATTAGGTATCTGATGCAGAGTTTCTTTCTTTTTGTTGAAAGAGAAAACATTACCAGGCTTTAAATGATAAGAAGACTGTAGTAAGTATGACAAGTCATTCTGAAAGAGAGAGATTGATCCATAGAAACTTTTCCTCTCCTCCTAATGGAGAGGAGTTAATGGAAGGCTTATCAAGAGTTTCCCAGCAAATTAATGAAGAAAATGAAGTGATGCTTAAAAGAAAAAATCTCACTGCAACTGAGCAATACCTTTTGATGTACAGTTTGCCTTGAATTTTATCAAGTGTCAATTAAGGCAAAATGCTATGGTATGTATAGCTTTCCTGAAACGTTAGCTTTGCTTGTGCCAGATCAAATAAATTTGGTTTAATAAGAAAAGTAGTAAAAATCATGTCTATTTCCTTGCATTGATAATTTGGGATTGATGTTAACCCATTTGTCACTGTTCATTCTGTTGCCCTTCTGTAATAGCAGATACTGCTCCCTGGCCCTTATTAACATCGCTGATGCATGCCCACTGTCCATCTACAGATTCTTTCCATAAAGTTACCTGTAAAAGATCAGAATAAGAGTGTTTAGTTCTTGCCCAGGTTTTAGAATCCACTGCACTTGGCAACATGAGTTTATTTTGAAAATTTCCCCTTGCCAATAGTTGCCAGTCATTCCATATTTGAGGCAGCACAGTATTCCCACTCCAAACAGATTCAATTAAATTCACACAAGGCAAGCTAATGTTTAAATTTAACTTCTTCCAACATTGCTAAAGTCAATACAACTTAGTGAAAATATGGTTAACTGATGTCTGTTTTTAACTTTTAAAAAAGTTATTAAGCTTCTAGAAAAAGTAGATTCCTCTCCCCCACACTGCTAGAACCTAGGAAGATACAGGCCTGGTTTAGACATGATGATCTTGGTATAGTAAGCTTTATCTTAGTAAATCAAGAACAAACCTTGGGTTTGTGCACTCTCCTCCTCTGTTTCTCACACTGAAGTGCAAAACTTAATTTAGTTTCCCTATATATCCAAATTGGGAAGCTGGTTTATTCTCTGACTACAAATAAGGATCAGAACTGAAAAATTTGGATCTCATGAGCATAAGAACTAGTTAGATTGATACCTGCATATGGCCATGTGACTGAAAGTATAAGAATAAAATGCT